GCCACTCTTCGTATGCAGCTGAGTTGCTCGTGAAGGCAGCAAGGAAAGCTGCCTCGTCTGACCGAAGAGGATGACCTTCCCTTAGGGCCGTTTCTAGGTCTTTAAGACCTGATAGCTCGTCATCGACCCAGTTCGGATCAATTAAACCAATACAGTGCCTCTCTTCTATATAACTAATTAACCAGATCAGGCTGCAATTAAAGACAGCCACCCTGACGAGGTTAGATCTGCCCCTCAACGAGAAGTTCTCTATAACGGCAGCGACCATTATACGCATCATACGGAGTTCTTCTTTATCAGCTGCCTCTAGGGCAGGCCTAATAGCTAGATCGAGATTGTAGCTAGTTATGCAGTAGGCATGATTATATGGCTGCAGGCTATTTTATACAGGCATCGAGGCGGCATAGCTATTATGCTATTAGCAAGAAGGGTTAGAAGGGAAAGTCAGGTTAGATAATATACTTAAGTATAATAGATAAATTAGGTATAGTATATTATAAAGGTTAATTAAGGTATAGTCCTTTAAATAGGTTAAAGGAAGAAGGTTAATTTAGCTACTAAGATATAACTAGTATTAATATTACTTAATTAAGGCAGTAATTGCATTATTAAGGCAGATAAACCTTATCTAATTCTAACTTCTATAATAATAGCCTGCTATAAGGGTCTTACTATTTAAACTATTAATAGAAAAGCTAAAAAGCTTAATAGCCTTATATAAGGCTAAAAGTAAGGGAAAAAATTTTTTAATTAATTTATATATTTAGCTACTTTCTTTTAATTTAAACCTTTAATATTAGGTATTTTAATATAAGTTTTTTATATAATTTTAAAGTATTTAATAACTTAAGTTATTTTTTTTTTACTTTTTATTTATTTAATACTTTATTATAAATAGTATATAACTTTTTTTAATATATCTTAATATATTTATTTATATTTATTATTATTATATCCTTTTTTATTAAGGCAGTTATTAATAAATTCTTTACTATATAATTATTACTAAAAGTATTTTTCTAATTTTATATTTTATTTATTTAATATAACTCCTTATTTAGATTATTTATTATTAATTAAAGCCTAATTAAATACTTCTTTAAGGTTAATAGGTTTAGAGATATATTTATTTTCTAATAATAATTTATTATTATTTATATCTTTTATAATTATAATCTTATTAAGTTATTAAAAATCTATAAGGTTCTTATATAAGTAAAGTCTATTAACTATTTATTAACTTTATAATTCTTTAATAATATTTAAACTTATATTATTAATTAATAGTTCTTTTATAAAGTAGTTATATTATTTATTATTAATTTATTCTTATATTGTTTTTCTTATTTTTAATATTATTTAGTAATTTCTTTAAGCTATTCTTTTATATTAAGGTATTATAAATTTATTATAAGTTAGCTAGTTAATATTTTCCCTTAGTTATTATATTAAATTCTTTTTCTACTTCTTTAATTATCTACTAAAAGTATTTAATACTTTTTTATAATTCTTTTATTTTTTAAATTTATTTATAATATATTAGGCTAAATTATAATATAGCTACTTTAAGGTTATTATACTAATAATATACTAGGTATTATTATAAGGAAGTAGTTATTATTTTCTTTATTTTAGTAATAATACTTATACTAATAATACTTATATAATACTTATAGAATATCTTTATAATTAAGGTTTATTAGTAATATTTTTATATTATTATCTTTATTAAATTATAATTCTTAATATAATAGTTTTATAATATTATATTAATAATAGGCTTTAATTTATATTTCTTTAAGTTCTTTAATATTCTTTTATTTCTTAGCTTCCTATATATACCTATTTTTAAGTAATAAATATATATTATTTTTAATTTTATTATATAATAGTTTATAAAGTTATCTTTATTTATTTTTAACTTATTTATCTTCCTTATAAAGATATTATATAATTATTTATATTATACCTCTTTTATATTTTATATTTTAAGAGTATTAATAATATAGCTATATATTTTATTTCCTACTTCTTATTCTTTATTAAAGGCTTTTTCTTTCTTTTATAATTCTCTTTCTATAAAATTAAATACTTTATACTTTATAATATACCCTTTATTAATACTTATTATAAAGGTTAATTTATATTATTAATTAATTATCTTTATAAGGATATTATTAATTCTTTTATTTATTATTTATTATACTTAAAGTCCTATTAAATACTTATAAATTTCTTATAATATAGGTTTTTCTTTTTTTAAGATATTTATTTTTCCTTCCTTAATAACTTCAAAGGTTTATAATTCTTTAAGATATTTTTTTATAGGTTCTCTTAGTATTATATATTAATCCTTATATAAAATATTAAGTTATTTTTAACTCATAGTATTATTTTTTCTTCTCCTTAAACTTATTACTTTTAATATTTTTAAAATACCTTCCTTTTATTATAATACTAGCTTTTATAATATCTTTATATATAAGGAATAAGTCTTATAATTCCTTAATTAAACTTTCTTTATATAGTTTTTATTTTAATTTATTTTTCTTTAATATAATAGTATTATATATTTTATAACTACTTTATATTATATTAAGTATTTAGGTATATAAAGCTATTTAATGGTTTTATTATTTAATTAGTCTTAAGGTTTACTTATTTTAATTTAGGTTCCTTAATTTCTTAAGCTTTAGGCAGTATTATATTATATATTAAAACTAATTATTATTATAATACTTGTATTAAAATATATCTTAATAATAGTTATTATTATTACCTAATTAAATAGCTTTAAGTATTATAAGTCTTAATTATATTTTATATAAGATATTATTAGATTAGTTCTTTTATTATTATTTATAACTTTAAAAATTACCTTAGTTATTATTATTATATTATTAATTAAGGTAATATAAGTTAAAGTTATTACTTTATTTATAATTAGCTTCTTTTTATATATATATATATTACTAGTTATTAACTTTAACTATTATAATAATATATATAATTAAGTCTTTAGGCTTATTAGCTAAGTATAATTTTTTTTTAACTTTTTCTTTTAATTCTTTATAATAAATTTCTATTAAGGCTTTATTATCTTATTTAATTTTAAATATAAATTACTAAAATTTAATAAAGTAAGTAATATAAGACTTATATTATTTAAATATAAGTAACTTTATTATAACTTATTATTTTTTATTAATTACTTTAAAGTTATCTTAAGGGATTATTTAAAATTATTTTAATTTCTAAAGATATTTTAAGTATTTTAATCTTATATATTTTCTTTATTTTTAAAAAAATCTCTTAAAATAGGTTTAAACTAATTCTTTACTTTTTCTTAAATTAAGCTTATAATATATAAGAGTTTCTTTATAAGTATATTTAATTTATTTTAATAAAGGTAAAAGTAAGCCTTTATTTAAGTTAAAAGTAAAATTATATTTATAGCTTAGCCTTTAAAAGGTTTTAGCTTAAAAGGCTTAAGTATTTCTTTAAAATCCTATTTAGTACTTCCCTTATTAGTAGTTATAATAAAATATATATTTACTTAAGTTTATAAAATATAAATAATATTATAAAGCTATTAAACCTTAATTATTATTTTAATAATATTAAGTAATAATTTAATTTAAAAAGGTATTAGGCTAATATTACTAAATATCTTAATAATATAATATTACTTATTTATTAATATAATATATTTTAAATAAAAGCTATTAATATATAATAATTATAAGTTTTAAATAAGAAAACTAGTTTATATTAAGTATATATTTATAAATTATTTAAGGTATTTAATTTAATTAAGTTAAATATTATATTTCTTAATAATTAAGTAATATTAATAAAGCTTATTAATATAAAGAAGTTTTATTAATAGCTAGTAAGCTAAGTTTTATAAAAATTTCCTAATAAATATAATTTATATTATAAAAATAGCCTTATAATTTAATAAAAAATAAATATAATTTAAGGGTTAAATCTCTAAGGATTGCTAATACTTTATAGTAATTTAGTCTTAAAGTATTATAATTTAAGTAATTTAATAAAAGAGGATTACTACTAGGAAAAGTACTTTTATTATAATTAATAGAAATTATAAGGGCTATATAATATAGCTGTATGGGTTATAATAATAATAATTAATTTTAAATTATATAATTAGCTTTATTAATATTTAATAGTTAATGCCTATAGTAATTAAAATCTTATTAAAATAATAAATATTAAAAAAGGTTTAAAGCTATTATAATTATACTTTACCTTAGTTTAATATCTAGTAATACTATTAGGTTTACTTTAAATTACTATAAAGGAGTTTTATCTTGCAGTTTAGACTTAATCTACTAGCAAAACTTAAAGATAAGATAGAGTGCTAAGAAAAGCTATAATAAATACTTTACAAGTAATATTTTACTAGAGAATTAGCTATACTAGTTATAAGTAAATAAAAAATATAAGTTAAAATAATACATAATAAAGTGGCAATATGGCCCAACTTTTCGTCATATCATCGTCTAGCTTGTTATCTAGTTTCGGGCTTTACTCGATTAAGAACATTATTGCCAAGGCTCGGGCCGTTAATGGAGTCCTCATTTTATAATAGTAAGACTCTTATATCATGTAATAAAGGCCAATGGACAGATGTGTTGGTTTTGCAAAGTTGCCTAGGCTTTGCATCCGAAATAGGTTACTAAATTCAGGGTCAAAGGTCTAATGCGTTTAGCTTGCCCACTTTTGTTGGTTGTGTATATCCACCGCTCCTCTCGGTTAAATGTCATGTTACCGAGTCTATTGGTTAGTTTAGGCCAGTTGCATACAGCCAAATTCGTCTTAAATTAGATATAAGATGTCAATCCAGAAAGCGAAGCGCGTTTAGACTTTCTGCAAAAATAGCTCAACATCACGGAAATGCACCTTACCAGAAATTTTCTGCCATTATCTCAATCGTGGCTAATATGCCTTTTCATATTCATCATTTACACGCCAATTCTGGTTTGGCTCGGATATCATTTAAACATCACCAGTTACTTTGGAGGCTACAGAATACATTCTGAGAATGAAATAGGCCAAACCTCACAGCCGCCCGAGGCCCCAGCTTGTCTTTCTGATGTATATACAACAAAGCCCAACGATACTTGTGACTCATTGGCTCTCAAGTACAGCGTCTCTTCTGCAGAAATCTTTATTAACAACCCTAACATTCTCGACTGCTACGACATGGTCGAAGACGTGCCAGTTTGTTTACCATTTCAATGCAACACCTACAAGGTCAAAGAAAACGACACCTGCATCTCTGTGGCCGACTCCTTAGGTCTTCGCCCAAGAGACATCGTCACTCTCAATCCCTGGATCGATGACGATTGCCATAATTTCCCGTCGGGCACGATAACGCTCGGTAGAATCATTTGCACTACGCCATCTGACGGCCAGTACAATAACATTGTCAACAACGCGGAATCAGACCCGGCATACTCTAAGTATGCTGACGAGCCTGTTCCACTACCTAAGAACGCCAGTCTAGCTAAAAACACAACTAAAGAGTGTGGACGTTGGTATACAATTCAGAAGGAAGATGACTGTGTTCGGGTTCTGGGCCAGCACTATATGAGTCTTTCTCTCTTTACAGCTACCAACCCGTCGATATCCCCAGGCAACTGTACCACGAGTCTTATCCCAGGACAAACCTACTGTGTCGGCCCAACTAAAAAAGCTCTCCGGAAACCATTTACCCCTCCTCCATATTGGCGCCTCGGATGCTATTCCAGTGGGATAGATCCAACCAAATCCACCCGTGTTTTGATACTTGATAAATTGAGCCACGTCAAACCTATGTCTATTCTTGCTTGTCAAGCCTACTGTCTCTCACAGTCGTTGCCCCTTTTCGGTCTACAAAATGGCGACTCTTGTCTATGTGACGATCGCCTGCGTATGGATAGTCGGCGTATACACAATTGGTCCTGCAAATCTCGCTGCAGCGGCGGTCCAAAAGTTTGTGATCGTGAGCAAGACGCTATTGAAGTCTTTAGTTCTTACGAAGAAACAGGTGTCGAGTACACTAGTATCGGATGCTTCGTGAGCAAGGACGAGCGCGTGATACGGGGCAAGGACTATATCACTTGGGAAAATAGAACTCTGGAAGAGTGCGCAAGCTTCTGTACTGTTGGCCTCGAGACTGACTACTTTGCTCTCCAAAAAGACAATCTCTGCGTTTGCGGCAATGAATTGAATCCAAGGGCTACAAAGGTTAGTATGGAGGAGTGTGATTTAGAATGTATGGGTGAGAATAGGGATACCTGTGGTGGAAAAGGTAGAACAAAGGTTTATACCACGAACTCTAACTATGTAGTATCTTCTTAATTTAGCAAAGACATATATCTCTTTTTTCTTTTTATAAAGTATTATATAGGTTTATCTTTTTTATTTTTTTAGAAAAGCGTAAACGCCAGATATACATAGTGCATTAACCCAATACCAACAAATAGAGCGCACAACAAGGAGGCATTGCGAATCAAGAAGTATGTTAGCGCTCACATGATCCGCAATTATCTTTAACTCTTAATACCGCCTATCTTGGGAACCATGGTGATACTTCAGGCTGTATCGGTGGACATATTTTGCTTTCTTTGTTGTTATGTTGAAGTAAACACTGCTGCGTGATAATACACCAGAACGCGACGCTAGCTCGGAGCTCGTTTGCATGGCAAGTTATCAGTGAAAGACAACTCAGCAGGTTTTTTACAGGTTGGAGAAACTACGATAGAGAAATAAATTGCATACTCTCATTGCATGATTTACCATCCTTCTCAGTGTCCGTCTCAATACTTACTCGTTATTCTCCTCCTCAGTATCCCCATAGCTCAGGTAGTCATCTTTCTCTGCATACTCTCCCTACAATAAGGCTAATGCATAACAGTCGGAAACTTCTCCACCAGTCACAGTATACATGAGATCTTTACTCTTAAGTAACTCGGCACCCCCATCTGGGTCACTAGCCAAAAACATCTTTGACCCACGGTCGTCGGAATAGTCACACAAAATAGGGGAAAAGACCTGTTCGTTGGGATCGACAGCCAGGTAATAATAGTCATCGCTGTTATCTTCTGGATAATATGGCACGAGGGCAACAATAACACCGCCGTCGAGGATAGTCTTCTCTTCGTCCACGCGGAGGCGCGATACACCCAGAACGGACATGGTGTTGTTGTAATAGTGCAGGATGCGTTGAGTGTCGTCGATGATGAGAACATCGTTCTTGGTCGACCACATTCCGGAGCAATAGGGATTGTCTTCTCCTTCAATGAGAAAGGCGTACATGTTGCCACTGGCGCAAGGAACAACCTTTGTTGTGATATCTGAATCAACCATGAGAGCTAATTCATATCCGGTCGAGAGGTTGTATGAAGAGTTCTTGAAGTCCTTAAGGTCGTATGAAAGCTCATCAGAGCCACCTTCGAAATCCAACGTGTTATCCGCGGGTTCCTCGGCCATTTCGTTATCCGAACTGAGTTGCCTGACTTTCATACGGCGGAACGAATCATCGTTCCCGAATACGTCGGAACTACCTTGATCTGGCTCCAGTTGACCATCTACCTGCTCCTGGTCGGGAGTGTTGGTTTGTGTCGGGATGTTAGATTCAACTGAAATCCCGGATGTAGGGGGGACAGGATCCTGATTTGATGCTTCAGTCCCAGTCTCTACATTATCTGTTGCTTTGGGGCCGTGAGATCTGTCAGTCGTCTCGGGAGGATTGACCGAATTAGTCTCAACCATATTGGTCCTAGCCGTATTGGTTTCGGCAGTGTTGGTAGTGGCGCCTGTTGTTTTAGATGGAAGCCCAGGAAGTCTGTTCGAATACCAGTCAGTATTAAAGTCAGCAATGAGACATGGAGGACTAACTTGATACAGCCTTGCGCAAGAACATTGTCTTTGGTGTCATGAATTGTGAACTCCTTGAGACTGAGAAGGTCAACGTACACCCTGTTACGGCAGCTCATCTGCGTGCTGATTCCCGTACAGCCGTTGGTTTCAGTGAATCCAGCGTCGAGCTTGTTATCTCCATTAAGGCCGGCTTTAGCCGCTACTTTAGCAACACCCTTAATGGAAGGTTTATCAATGAGAGCCACGTCCACGCTAAAGCCCGCTACCTTGACACCACAGCGTAGACCAAGAGGAAGACCAAGGGTAGCAGATAGCATAAGCTCACCTTCAGCCTCAAAGATAGGCTTGAAGGAAGGATCAAAGTCGCGCGCAGTGCTGGAGCGGGGGTTGACAAAGTCAACGATTGCTTCAGTATTCTGCAAGCCCATCTCGGCACCAACCAAAAGTTTGCCGTTGGCATCAGCATCGAGCTCAACGCGTGAATCAACAGTAATAGCGGGTCCGATCCTGACGATGCCGTAAGAGAGACCAGGGAGACCGACGTCAAGGAGTCTGTGCTTGAACTCTCGCTTGTAAGTCAACTGAGCATCAATCCCAATTTGCAGAACAAAACGGATATCAGTGTTTAAAGAGAGTTGACCAGTCTGAAAGCCTCCAATTGGCGACCAAGATGCCTTGCCGGCGATCCTGGCGCTTCTAGAAACTCCACATCCGACGCAGTAGATGTTCATGTAGCCAATCACATTACTGTCTTTGCCGCCCTTCATCGTCTCGCCTTTGTTCTTGCCATTTGCCTTGCTAATTTGATCTGGCTGCTTGCCAAATGCTTTGAGGAGAATAGAATCTCCCCAAGGTGATTGGACTTGCTTCAGATCGGGATCTATAAGCTTATTGGCACGAGGGTCTTTGGACGATGGATCAGGTAGTTTCCACGAAATGTCCTTGTTAAAGCCACCAGAAATAGCGGTAGCTTTACTGATAGCTTTGTAGACCGTAGTGAAAGGCTTGGTTACGGTTTTGAGAGCTTCGAAGACTGAGCCGAAGGTGAATTGACCCATGACATGATAGCGCCACGCTAATTTCCCATATAAAAAAAAGGTGAATTGACCAATTCACCATTACAATAAGTGGTAGGGGCAGATGATAAAAGTCAAAGGGGCAGATAATACCGGATAATTAAGGATGAAGGCGGATAATAGAAGTAAGTCTGGTATTGCTTAATAGAGATAATAGAGTGCTTTTATAGAGATTTTTTATCTAATTAGATAGTATTAAATAGAGGCAGATAATAAAAGTTAAATAGGTAGATAATATTAGATACTTAAGAATAAAAGTAGTCTAATAAGTTTTTTAACTTAATTAATACTATAGTAATTTATAAACCTATAATTATACTAAAGATTAAGGTTTTAAATAATAATAGATAGTTAATAATAAAGGCTAATTTTATCCTTTAGGCTTTAAGATATAGAAATAAGATAAAAGTAAGTCTATTATTACTTAATATATATAATAAAAGGGGCTTTTTATTTAATTATATAATGCTAAATTAAAATAGATAATAAAATTTAAAGGGATAAATAATAGGAGATAGTTAAGGATAATAGTAGATTTTATCCCTTAACCTTAATACTTATTCTTAAGAATTTATATTATATAATAGATATTAAGATTTAAGACTTAAAGTTTAAATAATATAAAATATATCTCTAGGGATTATTAATATTATATTATAAGAGTAATAATTAGTAACCTTTAAGAAGATTTTTTATTTAATTAGATAGCTAAGATAATATTAGATAATAATAAATAAAGAAAGATATTTTTATTTATCTTAGTAGATAGTTAAAATAATAATAAATAACTAAAGATAAAAAGTCTATTATTATTTATTAGATTAAGTAGTTATTATATATTTATATTTAGTCTTATATTATAAAGTATTTAATTAGTTAATACTAAATCTTAGATTAATAGCTTATCTTTCCTTAATTAATTAAAATAAGAATAGTAATCAGGCTAGAAGTAGTAAGTCTATACTAAGGTCTATTATATTAAAATCCTATAATTCTTAGTATTAGGTAAATATATTAATATAATTATAAGATAACCTTTTAATAATATTAGTAATTAATTAATTATATAGTTATTTAATATATAGTAATTTTTTATACCTTTCTAACTCTAAGAAGATTGCTTTTTAAGAAATAGTAAATTAATAAGGATAAAAAAGTTAGATTAACCTATAATATAATAGCGCTATATTAATTTCTTATATAAAAAAAAGGTAAATTAACTAATTTACTATTATAATAAGTAGTAGGAACCTACTTGGGGTTAGCTCTGGCTTTTTTATTAGCTAACCTAAGATAGTACTTTAGCGCCTTAGTAGTATGGCGGCCCCCGGCTTTTCCTAGCCAATCAGCGCCTGCGCCAAGCTAGTACTTTGGCCCATATTACTAGCAGACTAGAGGTTAGGCGTTAGCTCTGGCTTTTTCATTAGCTAACTTAAATAATATAAAATAAGCAGATATTATAGTATATAATATATTAGTATATAAACTTATTTAATATATAAGCTTATTATATATATTTATTAAATATTACTTTTTTTAATAATAAAATAATTTTAAAATAAATAAAATATTTTAATTAGTTTTTTTAAAATAAATCTTTTATTATATAATATTATTAGCTTTATTTTAAGGAATAATTTAATTATAATATATATATAACTACTAGATAATATATTTTATTAATTTAATTTCTTTTTTAATATTAAATATAAAAATAATTAAAATCCTATTTAATAGCTGTGTATTATTAATAACTTTTTTTAATTATTACTCTTATATTTGTTTTTAAAAAAAATATTAAGATATAATTTAATTTACTTATAGGAATATTACTTTTTAGAAAATATAAGTAAATATTAAAATAAAATAAAGTAAAGTATTACAGCGCAAGACCAGGTTACCCTAGACCCGTATATCAGGATAGCTATTTGGCAGTAAGCCGGATATCTACTAGTCACGTGGCAATATGTTATTACAAAGCTTTAGAAGCTAAGCTAGAAGATCTCCAGAATGTAGCTTAAAGAGCTATGTCTTATTAATAGAGCCTGACCTGCTTATAGTGCCTATCTGTAGTAATAGACCGTATTCCGTCTAAAGCATTCCCCGTCTACCTGTCCTGCCGAACCCAGCCCGTGATATAAAGAGGTAAGCTATTAGCACTATATAAATTCCTTATTAAAATAAAATATAAGTAGGCCTACCTATAATTATAATAACTCTAAGAGTAGACACTAAAACTATTCTTATACTTAAATTAAGAAGTATATATAGCAGGTACTTTAGTACTATGCTTAGCTTATCCATCCGTAGACCAAGAACCGCGTGTGCTAGAGACGGGGTTCTATTACTCGCTGTTAACGCCTACCAGCTTGTTCGATTCTTCCCAAACCTTCCCTGCAGCCTCCTCGTCGTAAGCCCAGGGGGCGTATCCAACCTCGCTCTGCAGCCAGTCTCCTGTAGTATCCGCTGGCTCCTCCTCGGCGAGGTTGCTGAGGTACTTGCCGCCTCGACCTTCCCATTCCTTACTTAGCGCAGCGTAAAGGGTTGTGGCCGCTCCTTGGGGCACGCTCTTCATGCTCTTGTGCAGCGATTCATTCCTTGCCAACGACTCTAATACCTCCTTGCTGAGATATTGAGAGAGATTGGTCTGGATGATACCCGGGTGCAGGGAGAGGGCGTGCAGTCCCTTGGACCCGTACCGTCTTTCGATCTCGTTGGCGAAGTAGATGTTGGCCGTCTTGGATTGTCCATAAGCAGTCCAGGGGTCGTATGGGTCGTTTTCAAAGTTGAAGTCGTCGAGACGGACCTTGCCGTAGCGGTGGGCTGAGGAGGCCACAGAAATCACCCGCGATTGGAACTGAGGCGTGGAGGCTGCGAGCAGATCGGGCTTCAAGAGTTGGAAGAGGAGGAAGTGGCCCAAGTGGTTGGTGCCAAATTGGGTCTCGAAACCGTCCTCGGTCTTCCCCTCAGGTGTGGCCATAACGCCAGCGTTGAGGATGAGCAGATTAAGCTTGTCGCTCTGGCCGTGGAAGGCCTTGGCAGCTGCTCGTACCGAGGCGAAGGAATCTAGACGCATCTCTATGACGTGAATGGGCGCATTGGACTTGGGGCCGGGTCCGTTCTTGACGTTGTCGACGGCCTGCTGGGCTTTGGCCGAGTCTCTGGCAGTGAGGTAGAGAGTGGCACCGGTGGCATGGATAGCTCGCGCTGTTTCGACACCAATACCAGAGTTTGCGCCCGTCACAAGGACAACCTTGCCGGCGAGCTTGCCGATTAGGCCTTCATCCTCAACGACTTGAAGAGCTGTGGGCCGCGCATCTCCAGGACCCTGGGTGCTAACGTGGGAGGCAGCGTATCTAGACATTGCGATGGATGGTGGCTATGTTCTTAAGGAGTCTGGCTTGTGCGGTAAGTGGATGGTGTTGTTGTAGTCCGTGAATGGTGCGTAACAGTCAGTTTGAGAGAGGAACACCGTAGTTTTATACCACCAGTGTGTGTGCCAGGTTCTGTATTTACAATCAAGGCACTCGGTAGGGAGAGCTTAGGGGACCTGTCAGAAGGCTGCTTCATGCTTCAGAGTTTGAGTCAGAGCACAGGACGGTCCATTTACATCCCGGATTTATAAGCTCAAGTCCACATGCATGGAAACCCCAAATCGCATGAAATGTCTGTATCATTTCAATGTCCCGTAGGTTAGCGGGGTGGAGCATTGGACATGCTAACTCAAGCCCACTACTTTGCGGTGTTCTCGGCAGTATTAGACTCCGTTAACACCGTGATAGACTGGAAGCTTCTTGTAGGCATATCGCCTCCCCCGCATCACTGCCCGATCTACACACAAGCTCTCAGGGACACATTGGGCTGCATGATGAAAGGTTCCTTTGCCCCGAGGTGTCAACTTCGTGCACTTGGCCCATCCATGGCACAGGGTATCTCAACATCAAACAATCCTTCAGCAGCGTTTCCTACTCAAAGGGCGGCAGTCTATACAAGAGAAAGCAAATGGCCAGAGTGGAATCTTCTCGCATACCTTTGTACCATTACCCCTTTGATGTATTATTGTGTGCACACCGCCAGCTCTATCCATGGCCGTGTACCCACCCGGATCTTTTAGTTCGAGTTTGTAGTAGTGCGGATGGCATTGGAGGAAGACCTAATGCCACCTCCATAGGCTGTGGTTTAGAACCGTGCGTGAACAAAGAAAGTTGAAATTTATCGACACCCCCCATCGTCCTAATGTCATAGCGGCAGTCTAAATTTGAAGAAAGCCGTCGTTTCCCCGTGACCTGCTGATTTATAAGCACTTTCCCGAAATCTAAGTCTAGTACTCTTAGCACAAAAGCGCATGGCTTATTAGTTAGGGCAGATTGGTTGACTCGTCAAAAACCATAAATACTCACAAGTTCGTAGACCCTCAAACTCACCCGGTTCTATAGAGGACCGTTGCACTCACAAGCTCGCATCCTCACCTAACAAACCATGGCTCCTCTCGTCTGGCTGATCACCGGAAGTTCCACTGGATTCGGTGCCGAATTCGTGAAGGCGCTTCTCGCTGCGGGAGACAAGGTCATTGCTACGGCGCGCAACCCCACCAGCATCGAACATTTCCAAAAGGCGGGAGCATCGGTTCTAAAGCTAGACTTGACCGCTAGCCAATCCGACTTTGACCAACTGGCGGAGACGGCCATTGGTATCTATGGCGGTGTGGACGTTGTAGTGAACAATGCCGGATACCCACACTTCAGCACCATTGAGGACGATAGGTTTGATGAGTCCATGTCCCCAACATCTCGAGGTGTCTAACTGTCGCTAGCCTTGAGAACTGGAAAAACGTTTTTCAAACTCATGTGTTCGGCCCTCTTGGTGTTGCACGAGCTTTCCTGCCACACTTTCGGTCTAAGAAGGCTGGAAATTTTGTGTTCATGGGGTCGATTGCGGCGTGGGGAGGGCTACCAGCAGTGGGGGCGTACTGCAGCTCCAAGGCGGCGCTTCGAGGTTGGTTCCACCTTCGTCACGCTCAAATGCAGCAACAGACTGACCTATTGCCCTAGCCGCGGTGGAGAGTTTGAATTTGGAAACAAAACCACTCGGAATCAGGACGCTCCTTGTCGAGCCCGGGTACTTCCGAACTGAGTTCCTCAATGAGAAGAAGGCAGTCTACATTGATACTAAGATCGATGAGTACAAGCCTCTCGTGGACAACCTGTACCCACAGGTGAAGGGAATCCATCAACAGCAACCCGGCGATCCTGCCAAGGGTGTGGCGCGCATCTTAGACGTGGTTAAGTACCATACGGCCGGAGAAGATTTCCCAGTCAGCTTGGCCTTGGGCGATGACGCTCTTGACACAATCCGGAAGAAGTGCAACGACACGCTGGAGCTGTTGGACAAGTGGGCAGAGAAGTCTTCGAACACATCGTTCTGAGAGACTACTGGATTGAGTGGAGAAGCTGAGGTCTGCAGACACGATCGTGCTCAACATGGTTGAAGGGGGGCCCTTACTGCTTGTTCTAGTACAACCTGAGATAGCTGGCCGTAGCATTGCCCACAATTTGTCCTTCCCAACTCCTTTACCGTTCCAACTGCAGTGGTGAACCATTGTACTAGTTCCTTCTATTCAAATTCGTTGCTCACTCGGTTCGGGTATGTTCGTCATTTCGACGACATGTGTGACATGCTCCCCCCTCGCCCTTTTCCATGTCTTATTGGTGTTTCAACCTTTACCTGGCGCCCTCAGTCTCGGCTATTACCACCAAGGGCCCGCAGGGCAAACACCGCTGTTGGCGCTCTGCCACAGCTTCGTTAAAGTTAAACAAAATCAACGAAGATACCCGGGCTCTGAGCGTCCAACATGTTCTTGTAATAAAGAGAGTATCAAAGAGTACTCCAGACTGTTTCGTCCCTTGCAGTGACTTACTTGGTGGCCTTACTACCAAGGAAACAGATTGATCAAGTTGTACTGGAAAGACACACAAAATTGCGAGATTTATATAACTGCAAGATACTTTTCAGTACAAGAGGCTGAGACGTTAGATACCTCGGAAACCCTGCAAACCGGCCCCCTGTTCGATATTTGCAAGGCGAAAAATATCATAGACTACTGTCGTAACTTGGTAGAATGATGCTTTTGGCTCTTGGGTCTATTACCGATGCACGTCGATAAGATTGGCAGAAGCTGTTGCGCCTGACTCGTTTCACTATTAAGGACGAACAACGTGCGCTGAGGAGTGTTTCTGTGTCTGGAATGGGTTAGTCTAATTTTGTTTGCCTTAGCTTGCGCCGGATGCCCCCATCAGGCAAACAATCCGGAAACTCTACCAACCACTAGTGTTTTAAGTCACGGCATTGCTTCATAAGCCAGTTGATTGTTTCCCTAAAACGGCAAGACGCAAGGACTGACGCCACATTCAACAGGGGGCCAGCTTAACTGTTTCCCAGCTTGGCCAAGTATTTGCTAGCACCTTGGCCACCTCAACAGTCCTCACAACAACAGAATAAATCCGCGACAGAAAGCTTCGAAGCCAAGACCATCATCGCTAACGCCGGTGCATTTTTTGATTAACCCTACAACATCACTTTGCCGAACTGAGTACCATTGCCCTCCTTGATGCTGACCAACAACGACGTGTCTCTAGTGACTGAGGGTGCAGGGAGATAGGTTGGCGAAACTACCGGAATCTTTTGCTTGTCCGACAAGTGGTCTTATGCCACTGACGGTCTGTATTCGAGCCTTATATAAAGGCGGTGATTACGTCAAAGTCACCGTAAAAAACCATCATTACAAAATTGCAGCTTCTTTCGTCCATTGAATCCAGTTATAATGAAGTGTTCTGCCATTTTCCCTCTCGGCCTCATCCTAGGAACGGCCCGCGCGATCAAAATGACAGATTATGCACCAACCTGCGGTATTGACCGAGAGTTCAAACTGTGGTACAGAGAGTACGTCAAATGACAACAGACATCCCTATCAAAACTAACATTTGCCTTGCGTAGATTACTTGGAGCCTTTGAAGATCCGACCACAACCGACAGTATCACCAGCTTCTTTGCGCCCGGCGGCGCCTTGATCCTTGGGGGATCTAATTTCACGGGCGGAGAGGCCATCCTAGCAGCCCGAGGAGCAATTCTGCCCGCTGACAGATCCATCCAATGGAATGTGTGTACCATTATGTTTGTTTCACGCTCACGGAGAGCCGCGGATCTTGTCAGCTGACGTCGAACTAACAGCACTTCCCCAACATTACCGTTGTCGCTTCAGAGACACCGACAAATAAGTCGTTCGAGGTCACTGGGGTCTTGCAGATAACTCTCTCCGCCAACGCAAGCTGCTCCACAACATAGTAAGAAGCCTGAAGACCCTGTTAACACGTCCATGACAAACACAGTAGTGCTAACGGTGCAACTCAAAGCTATCAAACGCTCTTCACCGTCGAAAAGAACTTGACCACTGGCAGAGCAAACCTCGCTCCGCAAGGCAGCAGTCTTATCAGATATGACGGATTATCCGTTAATTCCACGGATGACCAATGTATCAAATAGATTAGTTACTGGCCAAGCAGAGTTTAGTTTCGGCTAGACGGTCGACAGAACGTTGAGCGCTTGACTGGGGGTGTGGCATACTGACGACAACTCCGAAGTCCTTGCCCCTCTCAGGAGCGCACAGAGAGCTAAGTTGCAGGCTGCGACAGACCTTCCGCTTGCGAAGATATGTTTATAGACTCGTTTGTAGATGTAAATTAACGGTGTCATGCCCTAAGCAGGCTCCTCCTCGTAAAGCACCCTGAAATGTTTGCCTTCTCTCGTTTCTGAAGTGCGCCCTTAATCTGCCAACAGATCCTCCGCCCCTGCAATACTTTAAAAGTAACTTGTGAAAAGCCCATGAGTAGAACGACGAATAAGGTACTGCAGCAGAAGTTTGAATCCTCTGTTAGGTAGCTCGTAACCTTGTAGGCAGTCGTAGGAGCGGGGACATGTACTATAATAAGCCTTTAATTCAATAGAAGGGTTCTCGCCTCTGTACTTGGCTCAACGGTACTACCCTCCTTCTAACAACAATCATCTAAGCAGTAGGATTCCTCGTCATTTAGGCACCCGATGAGCATAATTTCGCCAGTAAATTGTCCCAAATCGAATAGGTCAGTCAGGGGGCTCCCGCAATGCGGGGTTGCCTGTGATAGCCTGGAATGGAAAGAGTGAAGGAGGCTGCTTGGTAGCTGGGGATATACAGGGTATGCGCCGGGTTGGCGCCATAGATGTCTTTAAAGATAGGGGTGTAACAATGATTAGATTAATCTCTGGCCTTCTAGAACCTAGCCCAGGTCACTCTTATATATCCTAAGTAAAAGAAAAACCCGGTAGCAGGTTATTGATAGGCAACTAGCGTCTTCCGCGCTGTTGAATCGCCTGTCCCTCGACTGGCTCGTCACACTGACTTATTTATACCACCTCACCATAATAAACAGAAGTGGTTTTGTGTAGGCGGACCAGAGAGTAGTACTTGAAAGTTTCGAGTACGAACAGTGGCGTCTGAGAGCCTTGCTGAAAAAACGACCCTTACGTAGTTTTGCAGGGTAGAGGGAGGACTAGAAACAAACCCGTAGTGGGTTAGAGTTTACGCTAGGACCACAAAAGGAAAACAATCTCAATCTTGCAGGCCCTGTTATAAATTGCGTGTGGCGTTGTTTCGGGTTCCCGTACCTTATGTCCGGGCCGAATATCCGAGCAAGGATCTTTGTCGGGCTCTGACTTTGTGTCTGCAACTTACCTCCTTCAATTGTTTCCCTAATTCGGACGCCAATCAGCGGAAGGTGCCGACATCCATTTCATCTGCCATTTTTCATGCCGATACTTGGCACGATCTACGTTCTACGTACGGACAGGAACTTGCTTGCAATCCCCACCTAGGCAGATACCAGTGGTTCAGCTTCCATCTGAGTGGTACCAGGACCTTAGTAAACTTCTTCCCAGCAAACAGCCTTGCAACCGCATGCCTGGGTCAATGTTGTCCCCGTCCAAAGGTGCCGCCTTGTACATGAATGGGGTACATTACAACGGAACGATGCCGACGGGGCCACAGGCGGGTAAGGGGTTTGTTTTTGTGACTGCGGACGCCCATGGTCAGCCGGCTGCTGGAGACCGTAAGCTCATACGGAGTCATGTCATGCGGGGGAAGAATACTCGTACACGAACTCCTCCTGATCGATTGAAGGGCCGTGTCCCTGCTACCGCTGTAGAAAGCCAACGGTCGCAGCATGCTGCAGGAGGCAATGATTCATCCGAAGAGTCCCACGGAGCTCGGACACGACATGAGTTGCTCAACTCTGACGTGGATGCTCTGGCCCGAATCAGACATCCAGGCATGGTCCCCCGTGCCGCCAACGTCTTCACTTTCATCAAGTTCCCTGAAGACATCGATAGTAGTTCGCGCAGCTTGCTATGCACATGTACGTCTCTTCCCTTCAAGCATAAGTAAGCCCTGCCCCTGACGCCTTCTGTCTTCCAGACTTTTCGTACTTGAAAGATACAATGTACCCGATTGGGAGGTACTCCCGCTCTGACGCTACCAATCCATACTGGTTTCACTGGACCCAGCTCGACTTGGCCTACCTACACTCCATCCTTTATACGACGTCTTTTTTTTACGATAGTTTGAAAGGTCAGAAGAGTAAGAGAACGGAATTCCACTCATATAGGACGATTCACGAGCTCAATAAGCAACTGGCTGATCCGACAACTGCACTGACCGACTCGACAATCACTGTCGTCATGGGGATGGCCTTGATCGCGGAGTGCTTTGGAGACGTAGAGTCCGCACACATGCACGTCATGGGTCTCAAGCAAATTGTTGGCCTGCGCGGTGGCATAGAATCGTTTGCAAATAAGCCTCAGCTTCAAGCCAAACTTTACCGGTAAGTCTTAATTCTCCCTTCCAATTTCAGCTCATCATAATCCGGCCAAAGTCGCTGACTACAAACGCCTGAAGAACTGGTTTAGTCTACAGCATCTGTACCGGCGCGAATCCAGTCTTTCACCAAGATAATACATCTTTCGAGTCAGCTTTCGACAGTTCACCTGAACTCACCCGGCTCAAGCCATCGGACGCGTCCTGCTTCTCCCGCTCGCGCTGTGTGGTACAAGCTTTAGGAAGGAGGCTCTACAGCATCTTCAAGGATGTCCAGGGCCTCTCACAGCTCATCAATGATAGCCACAATTCCGGTCAAAAGATACGGGAGATGTCTCTCGAGGAGCTCATGACATCGATTCAATCCCGGCTGCTTCTGCTCGAATTTAATGATAACAATGTTCTCCCAGAGCTTCTCCGGTTGTCACTTCTCGCTTTCTTGACAACCGTCTTCTGGAGTTTCCCTGGTGTCAAATTCGAGTACCCGCATCTGGCCAACCAACTCCGACAAGCTTGTCTGGCCTTCACGCCCACCACGGCTGGAGAGAGCTATCTCTTCGCCTGGGCCTTGATGGTGGGGGCGACGTCTGTGTTCCACGACCCTGATCAGACCTGGCTTCCTCAAAGACTGCGCCCTCTGATTCGAGACAACCTAGGGAGGACGTGGTTCGAAGTACAGAATAATCTGAGGCGAGTCATGTGGATCGATAGTATTCATGGCGGCCCCGGGATAGAGGTCTTCAACCAGTGTTTTGGGGAAACTGGGGACGGGAGTATCACTGTTCGAAGCAACTCTCTATATTGCTGACAGCCAGAGGTGGGACACAATACCCCTGCGGCGCCAACGCGTTCGACACCAGCGGAACTCATACCTATGTTATGGATTGCAACCGAGATGCCTCTGGACGGTTCGTTGCCGTATGACGGGCTCAACTAAGAGCCCAATGCTCGTGTTAGACCGCATAGGAAATTTATTTCTGCCGGTTTATGAATTTTCCATTCTCCTATCATATGATTCTAACTGCTAGACACCATGTAGAACTCCTATTTACTGGATATACTAATTGTTGGGGCTGAGGTGATTGACTATCTTCTCGATCGCAGGGTTGATGTAGTCCTCCTTATCGTAGAAGTCCATGTGGCGTGCATTGGGTACAACTACCTTCTTCAACGCCTTGTTCTTGCCATCGAGGATCTTGTAAATCTTTTCCGAATGCCATCTGCTCTCGGCTTTTTCGCCCACGACAATCAGGAGGGGCTGAGTCAGGAAAATATCGGCAATTAGCCAAGCATCAAAGTTTATGACGAGACCGGTAGATCGGAGCAACATCTTGTTTTGAGCATTGGGATGCTGGCCACGAGCGGTCAAGTAATACTCATAAGCCTCTTTAAGATCGTAAGGGGTGTTATCATCGAGGGTCGGCGGAGCATAAGGGGCGGCGACAGGCTCGTTTCCAGCGGCCTCCGCTTGAACGGCTTGCGCAACTTGGTCAAGAGCGGCGGCCTTCTCGTCTGCCTTTTCATTCCCGTACAGCCGAGACAAGCACCATCCCCAATGTTGACCGCGCTGACAATAGAGACAGCCTTGAAGCGATGGTCACCCTTGGCGGCGCCAACTGCGTAACCCCCACCGGCGCAAATGCCAACAAGTCCACCTCGTGTTATCAAAACATCAACCATCTCTCATTTTTCGCAAGAATCTAATTGGTAGCAAGCATATAAAAGAAAGAGTATGTATTCAGCTACGCGTTTGCATCTGCTAACCGTTTCAAAGACGCAGGATACTATGCCATTACCTCATCCACCACCATGGACTCCTGAGAGGTGGTCTGTCAATGAATAATAGAGCAGACTATTAACATACAATAATAATACATTATAATACTTTGATAATGTAGATTCCAGATGATGAAGAGAAATTAATTTGATACTGATTTGTGTGATAATAATACTCTCAACTCCTACTGTAAGTCTCAGACTAATTTAAATAACTGTAATCTAACCCCTCGATCACGCAAAGCTTCTGGAAGCATACGAGGATCGGAGTTCATAATCTCTCCAGTCAAGTTGTTTCGGAACAACGAAAAGAATTGGGGGTCATGCTTTGTCCTATCTTTTTGAATGGCTTCCCACCCTACGGGTAGCTCGCCTAACCTAGGATCTTGCTGGACCGCTTCCTTCGTGTCTTTGTTAAAGAAATAGGGGGTTTGGACTCCGCAGGAGTCAGGCTTATACTGCATAACCCATGGGGCTGGGAGAGGGCCAAGGAAGGCCTCCACGCTAGTGAACCCATGAAGATAGCAACTACCAACAACTTGAACACACCCGCCTGTCCACGGACGAAGAATAACTAATACTTTGCAACCAAGAAAGGCACATATAATATCACCTACAATTGTTTAGTTTCCAGAATACACAGTCAGGCTACTTTTAGGCCTTGCTTACCAGGTTTTGTGTCCTTATGACCAACACCAAAATACCCTGTTTTGCAAATAATAAAGGCCTGTTTGGAAAGAAACCGAAGTTCATGGGCATAACTGGAAACATCGATATTATCGTGAGACAGATCCATAGAGCTCGCCAGAAGTTCCTTCAGTTTACTTTTAAGTTCCTGAAGGGAGGACCAAGTGATTATAGCGGGGAACCGATCCCTAAGTTTACCCTGGACGAGAGTGGTGATAAACGCGTCCAAAATGCTCTCCCCTGTAGGGTATATCCCTGTCATCAAGTTATCTGGCTTCCAAGTTTGAAGTGCTGTCAGTCGCTTAGTTATGTCAGCTGGGCACGTCCCTTTGTTGCTTTGCACCGTGGCTATCTGAATGCCACACACTTCAAGAACGTCAGGGGCACGATAAGTTGCCTCGGCACGAGACATCCCAGATACCAACCCCGCCGCTCGGGATAACAACTCGCCCAGGTTGCTAGAAAAATCGGGAACCCACGAAGGAAGTTGTCTAGGCCGACTTGTTCGCAAGCTACAGAACTCGAAATGTAGCCGCTTCAATTGGTCCATCAAGCCTAGAAACAGACTTCGATAGACCTTTGCCACGGGCAGAGCATACTCAGGCCGAATGTGAGGCAGCAGGCTAGATGCAGCGAGTCCAAGGAGCCCATATACCTTATCATGAGGGTCGAAGCACTCTAGATGTGTGACCATCTGGAGCAAGGTGGCGAAGTTTAAGCCTTCAAAGTTATAGCAGAATGTGCCAAGCATTGGGAGCTTGCTTGAAGAAATACAGCGAGGGACATGTCTCTTCCAGATGAGGCAGACAATTGCCCTGCGGAATCGTTGCCATGTCATCTGAAATAGTCCGCATTGCACGACTGCATTGTGGTTGGAGAGATGGATCTCTTGCACAACCCATAGTCGACTGAAATATGGACGGTTGGCCAAGTCTGCAATAGCCTGCCAAGTGCTCTCGTCATATGGCATATCAGTGAGCGAATGAAACCAGTCTTGGTGGACGCATCCAGGCGAAGGTCGAACCCAGCTTGCCTTGGTAATCTCGACCTGTGCGGCCAAATAGTCTAGCGTCGATAACGCAATCGTGCTATTGTCCGATTCTAGCCCCAACCAGATCACGACACGGACTGCCGAGCGGAAGATATCGGCCATACGAGGAACCTGAATATTCTTTTCAGGAATGTCGTTTTGGTTTATGCAAATTGCGTCAGCCCACAGTGTCCGGGCCTTACCAGGATATCGTAGATGATTGAGGGCGCTGGCAAGATTTCCCCTAATACAGAGAGTCCTGATTTCACATAGGTCACCTTGGGATAGAACCTGGACAGTTTGGGGCTTATCCGCACTGCCCCAAGTGTATGATAGAGCTTCATATAGCGGGGAAGATGTTACATCGTCTGCATGAGAGCCGTGCAGGGATCGAGTAACACTGCCATCAGGGTGAGCCCACGAAGAGGTTTGCAACTTTTCGTTCCATAAGAGGCATCGATCGTCAGCGGTTTCTTCCGCTACCCAACTGAATGGCAAGCCTTTCTGCAGGTCATCTAAGGGCATGCGATGATGAGACTTCTCCCTCGTGGCTCTGAGTGGCGCATGATGAATTATGACTTTGAGGTCAGACTCAGGTTGGCCAGGCAGCAATGTGAGAAGTCGAATGTCGTCGTCGACTAGCTTAGAATACTCATATAAAGACATCGTTGCTATGTTAGAAAGAGGAGGGACTGGGAAACACATCGCATATGCGGGATTTTCTTTATTTGGCCCCACATGAATGGCGCTATAGTCTTGCCTTTATAGGTTAAGTTATTATTTATTAGTTAGAGCTATTAGTATCTCTAGGGGATTTAATATACTTATTATATAATATTACTTATTTATTTAATTTATTTAATTTATTTAATTTATTTAATTTATTTAATTTATTTAATTTATTTAATTTATTTAATTTATTTAATTTATTTAATTTATTTAATTTATTTAATTTATTTAATTTATTTAATTTATTTAATTTATTTAATTTATTTAATTTATTTAATTTATTTAATTTATTTAATTTATTTAATTTATTTAATTTATTTAATTTATTTAATTTATTTAATTTATTTAATTTATTTAATTTAAATATATATAATATATATACTAAGTAGGTTAGTTAAATAAGTAAGTTAATTAAAATCTTAACCTTTATAAATTAAATTATAATAAAAATACTATAAACTATTTAATTAATTAAATTTAATTATTATACTCTTCTCTTAAGGCCTAAGTACCTTTCTTAATAGGTTTTTATATTATACCTAGTCTTATTATAAGTCTTATAATATTACACCCTTAATTATATAACACTTTCTTAATTATTACTTCTTAATAATTTAATTACTCTTTATATATTTATATTTTTTTAATTAATTATATTTTAACTTTTCCTTATAGTTATCTTTCTTATATCTTATAAATAGGTTCTTTTTGCCTTATAATAATAGCTTAATATTATATTTACCTCTTAAAGCCCTTAATTCTTAGCTTTTTTTAAAGTAGAACTTATTTTATTTTATTTTAATTCTTTTAATGTCTATGCCACGGCTGCTATATACATAAAATGTCTCAGCCGAAAGATAATACCGCATTCCCCTATCATTAACCTTCATGAGGAGCCGGCAAGTGGACATCTAGAGGATCTGGGTCCCGATCGGGGGTGGAGGCGGCCCCGAAGAGGCAGGACTTAGGAGGAGTAATCAAGGGAAGCGGAATGGAGGAGGCACGTAGCCGGGGTTGCCTAGGTAAGTAAATAGAAGAGGGGGTGCGGTGCATGACCATTAGTCTGGATGTGAGGGGACTGATCGCATGGCGGGCGTTGCCGAGCTTCCCAAGGCATCATACGACCTAGGAATCAGCTTACACTACTCATATCTTTCTAATACTATCTTAGCTTTGATCAAGTGTTGGGGGCCATTATCACTCCAGTATTGCAAGAGATCTCATCTCATCTCACCTCACCTCATGGTTTAGAATATGTTGCGGCGTTTAAGAAGGAATGAACACGGCGTAAGTTGGATTTGCTATCAATTTTGGCGCAGGACAGTCCCTGTGAATCAAAATATACCGGATCAGGGATAAAGGCATTCGCAACTAAGCACTGGAATCCACGTGAAGCATAAAATGTAGAGAAGCCGTGCTAGCAGGCATGTTTATTATTAAGAAATCGACAGGACCAGTCTCCCCTTCACTTGTGCCATCTTGATTCTATCCAGAGCGACGTTTACTTCGTCCAACTTCAATACCTCTGTAACAACCCTGACTTTGCCTGCCGCAGCGATCTCTAAAGCGTCCAACATGTCTATCCTCCGGCCGTTGGTTTGCGCATGTAGCGAAATCCCGCGCATGAACAGCAACCCAGTGTGAAAACTGGATACGGCCGGGTTAGTAAGGAAGGAATCGGGGGTGTGGGATTGCAAAAGTCTACTTACTCAAGTTTGGCAGGTGCAAGCGCGACGACATTGCCACGAGGCCTGGAATACGCAAATGCATTGCTACTGTCGTACTAAGAGTCAGCAAAGGTTGGTTTGTAGAGCAGGCTAAAGCCGACACATCATTTTCTGGCGGTTGTTTTGACTTACAAATATGATGAGGGATGAGAATTCATGATGTGAGTCGTGTGAACTCCTCCGCTGGAGACTTTCAAAACCTCTAAGGCTACATCACCGTTGGTGAAATCGACGTAGCTGTCTGCACTGAGGTTGAGACAGAACTCCCTTTTCTCAGGCTCAGGGCCGTCGATAGTGACCACGTTAGCACCCATGGCTTTTGCATACTGAATGGCGAGATGACCTAGGCCACCAGCGGTGCCACTAATAGCGGCCCATTTACCTACGGAAACTTCTCCTCTGCGAAGGGCAGCTACAGTGGCTCCCCCGCCGCACAGTATGGGTGCAGCTGATGCAGGGTCGAGGCCGTCAGGAATGCGAAGGACGTGCTGTGCTGGCGCAACAAGGTATTCTGCCGTTGATGAGGGTCAGCTTCTGACATCATACAACTACGAGCCTGCTTCTAACGTACCTCTGAATGTCCCATCAGTTTGCAATCCATTAACGACCTGATCCGCGCAAGAGTTCTCATTACCCTCAAGACAGAGTCTACACTTGCCACAGGAGGAATGGCGCCATCCTAGTCCAGCAACATCCCCGACTTTGATGTTGCTAACTTCTCCTGCTGCAATGCCTAGTTCGACGACTACACCAACTCCTTCATGACCTCCCACAAGCGGCCGAAGTGGCTGTGAAGGCGCAGGGGGTCCACCGTCGCGGGAATGCAGATCTCCGTGACAGACTCCGCTGTAGTAGATGTGAACCAGCACATCGAGGGGGCCTACATCCCCCGCAATGGTTCTGCTCTCAATCAAATAAGGCTCGCTATAGGAGCCTTTGAGAACAGCTGCACGACCTTTGTAGCAGTCATCAGCCGAGCGAGTTGCGTCGTTGTCTGTCATATTGTCTTGCGCTCGATAATAAGTGATTACTTGCCAAGCGTCAGTCAGTTAATAACACTCCTCGGAGGATCTTTTTATAACTAGGTAGAAATCCAGAGAATGCAGCACAACCCTCCACTCTCCCGTACATGAACATACAAGGATCGGTATCAGAGGTTCGGATGGTTGGATGCTCTGCAGGTCGCATCGGACAGGCTCATCGGACGCTGCAGTTGAAACTGGAGCAAGATGCAACAAAATAAACTATGGTTCCGACATCGTGGGCACCAATAAGAATATGCGGAGGCGGGGGACCCCGAACTTGGGCCTTGAAATCACTCGCGTTAGATCTGTAGATGAGGAGCCGATGAAATGGTATGGAGCCGGGCCGTGAGGGGACGCGCAAGAATGGCTCGGAGTAAACGACAAAGGGATGCCATGTAGCAGTAGGAACTGGGGATGCGCCTGAAATGAGAAGCGAGATCTGGCGATAAAAGACATAAAAGGCATGTTTAATTCGCATAGGCCAATTTAAGCCATATTCATGGTAAAGTGTGGTTAATTTACGCGATCGTCTCATATCCTTTAGTATATACCTTTGAAAACTTTAGACATTGTTTCCTTGCCTCGATTTGAAACCATGAGCAAACTACTCGACGCTAATTTATTCATTAACAATGAGGTTCGTCATCCCTCTTGCCACACCATAGTCTCTGCCCCGTTTTGTTCCTTTGTTCGTTAACCAAAGTCACTATTAGCTTGTTCCTGCAACATGCGGGCAAACCCTCCCCCTTTATAGTCCTGTGACTGGGGAGCAAGTTGCTGTTGTTTCCCAAGCCAATGAAAGGGATATAGATTCTGCCCTCGATGCTGCTCGCGAGGCGTATCCTATCTGGCAGAAGATCTCTTTCGAACAAAGGGCAAAGCTTTACAACCGGCTAGCCAATCTCATTTTGCAGCACCGCGATGAACTTCATGAACTTGAAGCAATGTCAATGGGAAAGTAAGTGTCTTGTCCCATGTCCAAAGGCCGGAAATCAGAAGCATGGCTTACTTAGACGCTGTTAGGCCCTACGGCAACTTTGCTTTCGATAACTGGGCCTGTGCCTCTCTCTTTAGGATGTATGCCAACATGGAGCTCCAAATCCATGGGAAGTCTAGCCTCAACACTCCGGGCATGATTAACTTAACCCTGAAGCAGCCTTATGGTGTGGTTGCTGCCATCATCCCCTGGAATGTCTCTTTGATCATGTTTGCCATGAAGGTCGCGCCGGCGCTCGTGGCTGGAAATGCCATCATCGTCAAGTCCAGTGAGAAGGCTCCGCCTGCGGTATGTATACATCTTTATACTTTCCAGCAGCTTTTTCCCAGTATGATAGCTAACAATCGTATCACGACAGGTCTTGAAAGTAGCCGAGCTCATTAAAGAGGCCGGTTTCTCCGCCGGTCTCGTTAATGTTATTTCTGGCGACGGAAGAACCGGCGATCTACTTGCCCGGAACATGAGGATTGGGAAGATTTCCGTCACCGGCTCCGTGGCGACCGGAAAGAAGGTTGCCCAGGCAGCTGCGGCCTCCAACCTGAAGAATGTGACCCTGGAACTTGGCGGCAAGTCGCCTGCAGTTATATTCGCCGATGCAGATCTTGATACTGCTGTAGCCGCGTACGTGAACCTCCTGCACCATTTTTTATAGCCACCTTCGCGGGCCATCTAACTGCTACCTTAGGACTGAGATCTCCATTCATGTTAACTCTGGCCAGCATTGCCAAGGAAATAGCCGAATCTTGATTGAAGAATTTATCATTGACACCTACCTTGAAAAGCTCATCAAGTTGATGAGTTCTCGAAAGATAGGTGACCCAACTGACAAACCTACCTTCCAAGGTCCTCAGGGCGACAAACAACAGCAGAGGAATGTCTTGGAGTTAATTAATGAGGGGAAGCAGGCTGGTAAACTTGTCTATACTGGACAGGTGCCAGAGGGCAATGTGTGTGATATCTTTTGGCCAAAGTGACAGACTCTAAGTAGAGCGACGTGAGTTACTAATTCTGACATAGGGTGCCTTTGCTCCCCCAACTATCTTCAAGAATGTTGGCAGAGATTCACGAATCTTCCAAGAAGAAGTCTTTGGCCCTGTAGTTATTGCCAATTCGTTCAAGACAGAGGAAGAAGCCATTAAGATCGCCAATAACACGCAGTACGGCCTTCACGGTAAGTCATATGTGAGATCACCCTATATCGTACATCTTTCCAACTTAGAGGTTACAGCATCCGTATATACGACAAACTTTGGCCGCGCTATGCGTTTTGCCAAGGCTTTTGAGGCCAGAATCGTTTGAGTCAACTGTGGAGCTCCTTAACAGGTAAGCCCCGGCCAATTTTCCACCGTTAGTACATGGCTCCTGACGAGATACTTAAAGGACTTGACATGCCTGTTGGAGGCTGGAAACAGTCTGGCATCGGATCCGAGATGCATATGTACTCGGTCGAGAACTTCCTCCAGACAAAGGCGGTATGCTTCAAGCATGGATTTCAAGGTTTTGGGGGACATTGAAATCCATGTAGTAGATTCAAGGCGCCTAGAGGGTAAAGGGAGTATAGCTAATGCTTTATCCTATTGTTTTAAGTACCTTATCTGTTAGTGTAACTGTCAAGCTTATCAGTCGCATAGTCCCCAAGTAAAAAACGCTCTTTGAAGGATAGAATTTAATGTTTATATTGAGCGATTTACACTGCTAAAGGTAAGAGGCTGGTGCTATGAATAGCCCAGAGTGTTTAAAGCAGAGGCAGTAGACTGTCAAAGTAGTACTAAGAGTAGATAATATAGTGAAACATAAAACATAGTAAACGCTATTCTATAATACTTAGCAATCAATTACTTACTTATATTAGACATCATCCCTATAGCCGCAATCTAATCATCGATGGTTGGTGGTATACCATCTATTACTTGCTGAAGAACCTTGACGGTCGATATGTTTAGCACTTTCCATTCTGTCCTCCGCCCCAGAAGGCGTATTGCCTCCTTCAAAACCCTCGTACGACTTTCGACTCCGTCGAGGATCCCAACGCCAGCAATATGTAAGGGAACCCTTGTACCTAGTCTAATCCACTGGGGTAACGAATCCGCCTCCAGATCCTGGTCGATGCGGAGAGGCCGACCGATTGACGACGAAGGTCCGACGTTAGATAAGATCTCTTTCAGTAGGGTATCTCCCAGCTCCACATACACTCGTATGTAAAGCGAGGCGATAAGCAGCGAGTGAGGGTCAAAGAATGTCGTCGTAGTCTGCGTACGTATTATTCTGAAAAGAATCGCCGAGTGTCGTAGTGCCTCCCGGGCGCCCTGCTTATCTTTCATAATGACCCGTGAGAGTTCTTCCTTGGCAGTTTGAGTCCCTCGTCTGGTCATCATCCAGCCGAAATACATGTAGAGAAGCCTTAATGGCACACGCCTTAAGAGCGATAGCAGATGGTAGGTCTTCAAGTGAGTTAAAGCCAAAGGGGTGGTGTTAGCATAAGGGTCGCCTTGGCCTTCGAAGAGCTCAAACTTTTGGCCGAGTTGCCGTCTCATAATCTGGTCTGATGTTGACGTTCCAGTGGATTTTTGAGCTTGCCCAGCCGCGGAAGATTGTAAACCACAAAAAAGCCAAGAGTGCCTTTCTTCCAATAGTCTCTTCTCCTCCACATAGACTGAAGTCATTGCAACGAGACGAGCGGAGCCTTGTAGCCTTTCTATTGTTTCTTGTACTTTGATGCTTTTGTTGAGTAGATCGAAAAGAGGAAGGTCGCTGGCCGAATCTTTAGGTAGTTAGTTTCGGTTCTGAATCGCGGAGTAGCTTTGCTTACCATGCAGTCGCTGTGTTTCCTGATCCCACTGGTCCGCTGTAGCTGAGTCCCATCTCGCTTCATCCGACGGAATTGGGGAACGAATGTCTTGACTTGACATCACTGGGGAGAGGTCCCAGACAACATACTGCAAGCACTCTATGTCTACAAGCCACAAGGTAAGAACCAGTGATTGATAGGTTGTTTCGTCCTGGGGCTTACAGAAATTTACAACAAGTAAAGTACATAAGCCTGTTCCACGACTCATGCTCAACCCACTCCGCCCAGCTCCCCTCAGCAGAGGAGGGAGTCCTGGTTCTATGAAAAAGTGAACCATTGCCGGAATTGAACGGCTGGAATACTGTTACCAATATACTTTTCATGCTTTGTGACTGCAGGCTTGCTCGAGTAGTGCCACTAAACACCATTAATAGCTGATGTAGAAGCACTGTTTGCCCAAACACCAGATCGCCATCAATACAATGTCCCTCTAGGAGCTGCAAATGGGTGAGTGTCTTCAAGTCAGGTTCGTGGTCAAGGGAAGACTGACCTTTACCACCAGGGCTTGGCGCAGTAAGTCTCGAAACGGAACTGCGAATTCGTGCTGGTTTCTGATGGCGGAATGAGAACAGCCAACTGCCACGACTGCCAAAACTAACATCCAGGACTTCGCAGATGGTTGAAATGTTGGAAGATGAAGGACAGGAAATTGTGCATTTACAAATTCGAAATAAAGCTGCATGAACGAGTTCAGTACATCAATGTCAGGAAATTCTTGTGCTTCAGAGGAATAAGAGGAGGTGTTATGAAGGCTGCAAAAGAAGAATCGGATTCTCTGGTAAGTTTCTCCCGACAGCGCAGGCACATGATAGTAATTCTCTGCGGCGATGGTATCAACGTCGCTCAGAAGCAGCTTGGGAAAGTATATCGGGTGTTGGGAAGAAGCTCTCGCACATCTTCCTACCATGCCGTAGGGTGCCGTTGAGGTCACCGTTGACAAGCCTTCTGCGTTTGTGGACTCTTGTAAGTCTGTTAGGGAATGGCTGCCGAGGCCGACTTGGGGAGCCGATACGTGATCCGCCCCAGGGTGAGCCTGAGGCTTGGTCGTTCCAGGCCTTGAATCGTCACATGGCGGGGTATCCAACCTTGGATCAACTGAATACTCCCACGGACTAAGTCGTGGAAGCCAATCTTCAGTGTCCAAGTCTGAGAAGGGGTAGAACCACGAATTTGCTGGGTCGTCGGTTACCGCCGAGAACTCGGCCTCAGTAGCCGCCCCACGCTGCGCCGTATTATCAGTATGAGATACGCGGCAGGCCCCCGGCATAACTTGGGACTCCGACTCAGTTGTTCCATCATTTGAATCAGCAGGGAAGCCCAGGTAGTGAGCACGAGGTGCTTCAGGACTATCCATGATAATATCTGAAATTTGCAGCCCAGATGATGGTGTAGGATTTTGTGAAGGTCCGGCTTCAAAACGACGTCGGTTCATATCTTGCGTTTCCCCCAAACCCAGAGTCTCCATAGCGGGATGTACCCCGCTTTCGTATCCAGAGATCAGCCCTGAAGGTACACGAAACCGTTCAACAGCCACATTCTCAGACTCGGATGGCCCGCAGTGACTGTCCGACGGTGTCTCACACTGAAGTTTTCTCTGTCGACAACGGCCGCATGGTGAAGCTCGATCACATTTCTGCTTTGACTTGGCGCAATTGGCACATGCGTGCGGAATATGGCCAAGACTTGAAATGGAGAAAGCTTGGATTTGGTCAGTCGACAGCCCATGAGTGTTGAGGTGTCGCTTTAGTATATCTCTGTCAATCACATCAGCCATAGCGCCTTTGCTAAGTGATATCTAGATGCAGCTTTACCTTCTTGCAAATTGCCTAGAGCAGACGGCGCATGAATAAGGGCGCAGGCCTAGATGCTTTCGAACGTGTCGCTGAACGTGTTCTTCACGACTAAACGATCGTCGACAGTAGCGGCAAGTTAGATTATCCGGGTTCGTCATGGCATCAGTCCAGGCCTGGCACTGCGAAGGAGTAAAAGGTGTTCGCTGTTGGTTAATTTAGCGAAAGGCAAGGGTGTGTTTCTTATCCTAGTAGACCAGTATGATATGTGTCAATGACGCGGAAAGAGGGAGAGGGGAGAGTCTGAAAGTGGTAGTATGTTTTCGGAATTAAGAAAGAAAAATCGGACTTAGTAAGTATTAACTAGGAACATGGCTTTACCGTGTTTTAGCCCAGTTGCTACGGATAATGTCTGACGGTCCGTGCTTCCACTCTTACTTAATTATTCCGCTGTAAAGAACGGATGTCGGTAAAGATCGAAGTCCGAGTTAAAAACTAACTATCAGCCGTTGTCCCCGTTCATATAAGTCAACGAACAATTTTCACCGAGTCCGAGTTTAATAGCCACAAGTTAAAGCTTATTTATTTATAAAGGCCCCTTAAAAGAAGAATAATTTCTAAAAACTTAGTTTACTTTCTAGTTCCAGAGGATAACAACTCCAAGTCCCTACTTAACATAAAAGGCAGACCCTACACATTCAAGACTCCACGGTTTTATATATAGCTAAGGCTTCTAGTTTTATCAACAGAACGACCCAAAGAGACATCTGCAGTAGACAGAATGCCGACTAATCGAGCTGTTTGGATCAAGGGTCCCAAGTCCTATCCCCTGGAAGTCGGCCCGGCTACGTTTCCGACTCCGAAGTCAGGTGAAGTTGTCATCAAGGCCCAAAGCTATGCTCTGGTAAGATGTCAACCTCAGCGTTTGAAATGGAATACCCCATTGCTAACAGTCACCCCAACTCCAGAATCCAGTTGAATGGAAGATTCAGTCAGTCTCACTTAGTCGTCGAGAAAACAGCTCATCATTCATCTAACATGATCCCAAACAGAGAACAGGACTTCTTTATCAAGACCTACCCGTTTATCCTTGGTGCTGATGTCGCAGGTTATGTTGAGGATATTGGCGAAGGTGTAACTCATGTCCAAAAGGGCCAACGTGTTATGGGGTATAAGCAACTCCTTCACCCCACGGTGTAAAAACAAAGCACGAAGCTAATCATGATTCAGATACTGCATTGGCCTGGGAGTGAACAACCCAGCATTCGGCGCTTTCCAGCTCTATCCTACTCTGTTTGCCCCATTGGTGTGCCCGATTCCGGATAGTTTGAGCTTCGACGAGGCAGCTGTAGCTCCCCTCGCTGTTACTACGGCAGCTGTGAACCTTTACCACCGTTCTCACCTGAACTTGCCGCTCCCGAGCCTGAGCCCTCAACCCAGTGGCAAGGTCTTATTGGTCTGGGGCGGATCATCTTCGGTCGGTTCTACGGCTATTCAGTTAGCTGTCGCTTCTGGTCTGGAGGTGATAAGCACTGCGTCAGAGCTCAATCATAGCCTCGTCAAATCCGTTGGCGCGACTACCGTCCTTGACTACAAGAGCCCGGCCATTGTGCAAGATGTTGTTTCCGTCCTGTCAGGTCGTGAGCTTGTCGGCATTTTTGACGCCATTTCTGAACCAGAATCCATGAAACCTATCAATGAAATCCTCGACCAAATTGGGAGCCACAAAGTCGGTCTTGTTGTACCACCAACGATCGAGCTGTCGAAGAACTTCATTCCGACAATGTGTAAGGCCAGCCCCAGTCAGTTATTGAGATTCCAATTGGTATATTAACGATTCGATAGCACTTGCTTTTGAGATTTTGAGTAGTGATGAAAGCAAGGTTTTGAACCATATATGGAAGGACTATCTTCCCCAAGCTATCCGCCAAGGTAGCTTTCAGCTACAGCCTCCTCCGGTTGTTGTTGGCAAGGGCCTTGGTGAAATACAGCAAGGACTAGATAAGTTGAAAGCTGGAGTCTCAGGCCAAAAGTTTATCGTGCACGTCTGAGTTGCATATGTCTCCTGGGTGCTTCCGTATACGTCATAGCTTTTCGTGGAAGGGTAGAGGAGAATGGAGGACGCGGTAGACTGGGATATAAAGCTAAAGTTACCTCCATCTTAATTATAGCTCAAAATAGGTAAGCAATACAGAACGAAGATAAACACACTGCGCAATTTTTATTGCTTATTATTATACTATTGAGAAATAGCAATTAAACATATTCATGGCCAGGTCTCTATCATCAACTCTGCAATTTGTCTCCTCTTGTTTTCGAGTGAGGGCCTCAAGCAAAAGCGCTGCCCTTTTTGCATTCCTTGTGGCTCCGTGACTGATACGAAATGCTGGTAATGTCTCTAGGTTCTGACTCTGAGGCTTCAGCACCGGTCTCGCCCTCCCCAAGGCCTTCAGTTGCTCTATGGCCCAACTGCGGTGCTCATCATCTTTGCATTCTGTCCCGAAAAGGAAGACCGGCCACATAAGAGCAGGGTGGACTGTCTTTTGTTGACTTTTATCGTCCGCTTCTCCATAAGAGTTCTTCATATGTTCCCACGTCTTTTCCAATGCGCCTGTCACCGCTTCAGTATGCTCAAGGTGCCACCAACAGACGCGGTGGAGATAGACAAATAGTATCCAGAAGCTGGCCAGATACACGCTCGAGACTTCCTGTAGTCTCGTTGCAACATCTGGAGCGACTGACATGGACAGTTCAGCTGTGGACAGAGATATAACAGATGGACACTGCGCCCACAAGTCCCAGAGCTTGCTGTGAATTTGCTTTCCCTCTAGAGCAACCTTCATCTCGGCATCTGGGGTAAACCGCTTGCAGTGATGTTTATCAAGGGCGCTGATCTGACGACAATATGCTTGCGTCTTCAAGTACCATTCGGCAGCTGGCTGCAAAATTGCTCGGAGTACGATCTCTTTCACATCACACGAACTCCTCGCAGGGACGACGATGCCACTATCCCCATGTTCAGAAACTCCCGACAGCGGACTCTGAGACAGTAATTGGAAGTCTTTGTCATCGCCAAGCGATCCTCTTCTGTATTTATACTCTTCGTAGTCGCAGCTAATAATCTGAATGGGATACTGAGAAACGACTTGGAGGGCTTTGGATGACAAGAGAGTTGGTCCGCTCAGATGAGAGGCTTTGCTGTCGAGGGAGTTGAACCATGAGAGAAGTTGTCTCGAATACCAATTCCAGTCGTAAGAGCATGTAATGATGATGTCGGCAAGTTCAGTTGGAAATAGAGACTCACTGTCGTGCTCGACACGATCGCGGAGAACCTGAATCCACGCCAAGAGGAATATAGCAGCTAGCCAATCGTCCATCTTGGAGCTACTACCGCACTGAATTAGAGAAACATCTTGTTGAATCATGCAGGTTGTTGTGTTGAATGAATTCTGTATGTGGTCTTGAAGATGACGTCTTAGAGTTATCGAGTCACTAATACTATCCCACTCAAGGAGCTTATCAAGACCTAACAATGCACTCATCACGGCATCATTGTGCGACGCCAAATTCACCAGGTACTGCTGCAGGTGTTGCCACTTCTTGATGCCCCCCATCAACATGGCCGCAGGTGGTTGCATAATCTTGCCAAAGACATTTAAGGAGTGTTTATGCTCTGACCGCCCAGAAGTGAGTAACAAGCTGTCGAGATGGAAGTGTTCGTCTGTTTGTGTCGAGATTGTACTTGAAACATCCGGATTGGGAAGAGCCGCCCTCCAGAGAGGTGCTGCATTATTGAAAGCTCCTGGGTCCGAAAGCTCAGATATCATCGGCACCCCAGTACCAGTTATCACATCAGAGTTACCATCTGGGCGGCTAATGCTCGACAACAAAGACTTCGGGCTACCAAAAGCCTCGAGCTCCCCTGCCCAACTGCTGCAAAGGGCGTCGATGTCGGTGGCCATTCTACTATTGGACCACGAAAATGAGTCAAACTGAGCTGCATGATCGTTCTCTTCTAACGAAGCCCCCGATATGCTTGGGGAGGGAAGTAGTATCCGTTGCTTCGCTGGTCCGGGGGCTCGTTGCGAGCGATGGGGATAGTAGCAATGGAGCTGTAACCGATGGCAAGGCTCACATGATGGATATGCCTCATCGCATCTCACGTGTCGTCTCTTACAAGTAGCACATCCCAGTCGAGATCGAGGTGCAGCTCTCCCTTGAGCAGGTTGTTGATGTGAGGAATTCCGAGCTGACGGCGTCTTCGATCGCACCATGGCGTATCAGGAGGTATATGACCAACGTTGGGCTGAAGCGCAAGTAGAGCCGATGGATTGGGGTCTCTGGAGGTGTCACCTCCAAGCGTGTTATCCTATCTCGGGGGATTCTCGGTATGGTGACCAAAGGTGAACTGGCACACGACGAAGCCAGCAACCCCGTATCTCAGCTACTATGGTAAAGATAACGGATTCCAGTTCTGTATCAGCGGTCCAGAACCTGGAGACTGCGGGGTAAACCCCGCAAAGGGTGTTAGCTGACATTCTGCTTGCACAGATTCACAGATTCTTATTCGCTCCATCCATCTAGGATTCTGAGGGCATTTGCATTGTCAGTTGACGGCCGATTTTGAGTTTGCAACTAGTCATCTTTGGGACATCCAGCTAGTTGTAATCTCGGGTCTATCATGTCAGCGAGAGGAGGTGGCCTGACTCTGATGTCATGGTACTCGTAGGAATTGGATTAACTTGATTATGATTGGCTAGTTTTCCGACCACTCCGGCAGTTACATGGAGTTGCAAAAGGCTGTTGGGACTAAAAGCCCTTGCCTTTATTCGTATGCCGAGTGGACTCCTCTACGGAAAGAGCCATTAAAGGCCAAGAAAGCATCTCTAAAATGATCAACAAGATAGTGACAAGGGGGTTCAAAGAAGGGACCTGGGTATGGGCGGAAGAATGGAATTACTATGTAGACTTACTGACGACTCCCGCTATAGAGAAAGAGGCCTCTAGGTATTAATTTACCAAGGTTTGAATCCTCCTCTGCTCTACAAGACTCAAGGCCGATTGGTAATCTGCGCACATATCAATACATCGGACATATTGATCCCAAATCTGCACATGTATTGCAGACACATAGGTGGCGGAACCTTGTGAAGGTACCTGAAGGTTGAGTTCCATGGTGTTTTTCTGTATTCAGCTATGTGAGATGATCTCTACTGTCTTCAAACGTAACCTCTCCTTATAGCTTATACCTTGGCCTCTTCCTTCTTTTCTTCCTTATCATTCATCGGTAGGCCAGGTACATCCTTGAAGACAGCAAAGCTTGAAGGAGTTTCCTCAAGAACCGGGAAATGGAATCCACACTGAGGGCATGTCTCGCGTAATACTGCCTGTTCCTCAGCCAAATTGTACTTCTTATCCTCTGCCTTATTGCATACAGGGCAGACTCGGATAAGACGGGTGCCGACGAGTTCAAAGTTGTTGATGATATCCTCCATAATTGCTCCATTGGCGGCCCATGACTTGCAGTATTTATGATAGGTGTTTTTATGCCAATCATAGAGAGCCCCTCGGCTGGTCCAAAAGCTACATTCATTGTACCAACTTCGATCATCAGGATGCTCCCACCACGTCAGATGCAAGAATCCAGGAAGGGTCATGAGGTGACGGCGAGTATCAGCGAATAAAACCTTGAATCTGTGAGTCCTCGCGAATTGTAATGTATTCTCAGGATATACCTTAAATTTCTCATAGGCGTCTGGGCTCGAGAAGCGGACGCGTTGCATGCTCAGATAGATGGGCATCTTGTTCTTCTTGATATTCGAAAATTGAATGGAAATCTGTATGAATAGGTACGTGATAAGATATGAAATTATGTGTCAGGATAAAGCCTAGACAAGGCCTACTATAAATATTGCCTCGATGCATCTCACCGAGATAGGTCCCGAGGTCGTTCAATGATCAACTCCATAAGCGGAATGGTCTGAACATATCGGCTGCCTGGCTGTCTGGCAATGCCGGGTATTTGTTTTCCGCTCGTTTTCATTGGCTGTATTGCCGACGACATGCATCTTGTCATAACCAAATAATACAATTTCTAGTTTGGGAAAAAGAATTAATCTGAATCTACGTACCCTGGCTATAGTTGCTAAAAGGAACATTAATATACTATCCCACTGACCCGGGCCGTCGGGGAATGGACAAGTAGTATCACAGCCCTGCCCTCCTCACCGGAGACTCGTCACAATCAACCCCATGTCCCTCTCAACCTTATTTCCGAATTTGAGGATAGGACATCAATGGCCGTAAATCCGACGAATAGTGCCAAAGACACGACGAAGTTGTCACCGACCACACCCTCAAGGGTGACACATTGACCTCTTTGATGTTCTAAATGGGATACTGGCTAGAACCAACAGGCTCTCACATGTATTGAAAGCATGGCTATGGCCGTGATCAAGTACAAATAGGTTCGAACATGTCCTTTTTCAAAGGGCGATTCTTCACTTGACTATCAATCTTACCAACTAAACCCCAATCTTACCAATCTATCTCACCTACTATTATTATGGCTCAACCGACCACTCACGTTGTTCACGGTGGCAAACAAGCTTCGCCCACCAGCACATGGACAAGCTTTGAGTGGGAAGAGCCTAAGCTGGGCAAACAAGTCCATGGCGAAGTAACCACTGCCCGCGCTTTTGGGACTTCTGGAAACCTCTCATCAGGATTCTGGAGGACAGGCGCCACGTCCCCAGGCGCCAACAGCGATGGGTCGCACAGCCTCACCTATTCGTCTCCCCTTGGCGACGAGACCGCGTGCGTTATTGACGGATCCGCCACCTTGACAGTCGTCTCGACTGGGGCTAAATACAAAGTCGGTCCTGGATCAATTATTAGCTCTCCCAAGGGACTCGAGGTGTACTGGCAGATCGAGGCTCCCTTTTTCAAGAAGTACTGGTGTATCTGGAATGGCACCAAAGCTGCTACCAACCCGCCAACTGATCTTCTAATTAGCAACGTCAGTGACAGTCCCGACTGGGTCAACTACAATTTTACTGAGCCCAAGGAAGGCGATCTCGTGGCTGGCGAGTTGTACTTCATTCGTAATGGAGGATCGACTGGATCCATGCTGAGTGGAGTGTGGCGATCTGGAAAAGGAATTGCGGCTTCTGATCTGGATGATGAAGGGACTTTAACGACACCTTATACTGGAGTCCTTGGTGACGAAACAATTCTTCTCCTTGAGGGCGAAGTTGATGTCACGGAGACGGACAGTGGAAAGAAGCATAGTTTCAGGGCAGGAGATGCAATTGGCCTGACATCAGGCATGCATATTACCTGGGTCTCCAAGGGTCCCTTTACAAAGAAGCTGTGGGTCATTACCCGGGATGTTGTTGAGTAAAGAGAAGACTGTAAATAGATCCAGTTGGGTCGGGTGGTTTGACAGAAAACAAGCAGTAGTCTTACTTATTATCTATTAGTACTTGGGCCTATAATCCAGTTCTCGCATTGCCTCAACAGGATCCACGTTGTTGTCAAACACAGTCAAGATCCATCTTACCACTGTCATATACGACGCCTCGCCACCCATATGAGCTTCGTTTTTAAGAACCTACCCGAATGAGTGTCATGGCCAAGATATTGATAGATTGGAGGCTTACCTAGCTTCTTTCGGTGGTCCATGCTCCAGACAAAGATAGCTGTCGTCGACTGGAAATACACTGTCGTCAATACCCTGCAACATCGATTTCAGTACTGGCACTATTCTTCAAGCAAGAAAGGATGGATATCAGTATGCATACGTTGATGAGCAACAAGCGAGCGCATTCTGGCTTGTCAAGTGTTCCATCCTTCAACAAGGAGAATTTGTCACTAGCCTCTTTCACGAACTTTTCCGTGTCGCCTTTGAACCCCCATTTCCAAGCAAAAGCCTCGCAAGCACTTTCAGTAGGTAATTAGATCAGCAGATACTAGTGACAAGGCGCAGCACGCCTTACCTGTGAGCGAATTCTCGCAAATCAATGTTCTCCAGCCATTCAGGATCAAACGAATGATGGGCGGCACCTCCCTGAGCGACCATTCCCAAGAAGCTTTTGGGATGCGTGTAGGCAGCCCGAATGGCGTAGTATCCTCCCGTTGAGAGGCCCCATCCTACCACTCTCCGGCTATCGATTCTCTTATGGTCCTCGATCCAGTCCAGTAAACTTGACCACTGTCGATCAGGGCTTTGAGGGTCATCTGCAAAGGCCGGGGAGTCTCCAGTTCCGGGGATCTCGGCAATCACCATGCCGATTCCACAACGCCGAAATAGTCCGGCGAAGCAGGACAACTCTGGCCGCCAAGAATCTAAGCCCCCCATGCCTAGAACGATGGGAGCTGGGTTTTTTTCAGAAGCACCATCAGGCAATGAGACCCAAATAGGGACGTTGCCGCCTTCGCCATCGAGGCCGTGCTTGTGTGGAACAAACTGTTCCTGAATAGGTATCCCTCTCAACTGCAAACCCTTCATAGCCGCTTGCTTGGATCTCTCCCAGGCATTACGCTGGGCATCGCAGAGCAAAGCCGGATACCGTGAGATAAACCACACGTTGGCAGCGCGGAGATAATATTCCGATGCCTTTTCCAGCTGCCCCGTTTGCTCCGCAGCGACAGCTGTCTCAAATAGCTTAGAAGCCTGGGGCTCAAAATACGAGGCAAACGACTGCCACTCATATGGTTCTTTCATGTCAAGCTGATGTAGCCTTAGTAAAAGTTGCAGCAACAATCAAGCGGCTCATGGATACATTTGACTCACCCTTGCTAGCTCCGCCACGATGGGCTGAAAATCTACGTCGTCTGTGAACAGAAATGGGTACGTCATGTTCTTCGCCTGCTGATTGTTAATCCATCAGCTATACAGGTAAGCAGACAACGTACTGAGGATTCCCAGCGAGTCTTCCATAAGCTGCTGAACGACTCATGATGGGGATGCTGCTCATCTAGCTGATCATGAATGAAATACTTCCCTCCTGGCGCGGTCATGATGAAATGTGGAATGCTGATTGAAGTGGCAAGATATAAACGCTTTATATGTAAGTGATAAAACGAAGAATCTAGTTCTTAGTGTATAAGCCTGATACTCTCTAGCTAAAATAGCTCAATTTAGAGTCACCTGAGATAATATTAACTATAGTCCAAAAGCTCGGCCCGAACGTAGAGGGGTGTTCGTTTCGGTCCGATCAGAACAGAGAAGAACTATAATGCCGGACCGAAGTGATTAAATTTTTTAACGTAGTCTTCGGTCTTCGGATCTCGTATCCCCGCTTCTCGGTCTGTTCTATTCTGCGCGCGGTTCAGAAGTTTGAGCATAGGTAATGCTACGCCGACCTCGCCTTACCAAAGTGATCGCCCATCTTGGCTCCAACGCACCACCTATAAAAGGTATGATAAAAAAGTACGGTCGGATCTGAGTTTGCGTCATTCCCATGGCCATCCTCTCACCTTATGCCTGGTCATTGTAGTTACGTTGCATTGCAATAGAGAACAGCTCATATACTCCAGATGCGTTCTCATTTTACAGGCGGGTATTATCACACGGATTGGAAGAGCCATACTTAAAATCCCAATTATATTTCATAAATGTATCACGCCAATGCGCTTGTCTCTGCTATTAAACACAGTATATTTGATAAGTTTTAGTTGCGATAACCTCACAAGGCAGTAATGCCAGACTAGTCACACAAGTCCGGGGTATTGAACAAATTTATTAAAGGGGCAATCTGGCTTGGACTTGCAATATTTCATCAATTATCCAAACCTATGCTCCTCTGTCACGTATTGACCGTTGACTTTGAAAGGGGCGCAGGGAAGAAGAATTGCAATCACCCGAGCACGATGCTCCTTGGAAGCGTTAATCCATCTGTGCATAGTTGCCCGCTGAATGATGTGATCCTGCAAGGAACGGCTGTTAGTGGCTTTTTACAAGGAAGGCCGTTGATGTATAATGAAAGGACCGTAAAACGCTTACCCCAGCTTTCAATAGGACCTTTTGGCCACTATCAAGTTCATGATATACCTCTCCCATAACACAAGTAGAGATATCCAAAGACACCGTTCGATGCCAATGACCCACCGCATCGGGGTCAATGTCGAGATTTATCACATTTGCTCCTCCCAGCTCGTTTTGTCCTGTTTGGGGGTTCAACTGTGATGAGGGAACGAGAAAATCTGTACTCCGGGTGTAGCTAGTGAGAGAGTCAAGTGAAAGGTGTGCCTTCAGGTCATGGTCATCCGCCAGTTCTGCAAGCAGCTTCAAAGTAGCATAAGAACGAGATGCTATTCCAAAGCCAGGCACAGCTGCAGTGCATAGTTCGGGTGCACTTATGTAAATACTTTCGCCAGTCGTGAGGTCATGGCCTGTTATATACCGTTTGACAGGGCGAGTAGTAGCTGTGATTCCAGCATTATTGTTTTCTTGGCTTGAGGTACCCATGGGATAAGAGAGTTAAGCAGCTGATCAACAAAGTGCATATATTATCAAGTCTAATTCATAGAAGTCAGTAGCCACTTGCAGTTGGGGGCGTGGTAAATTCTTACTTGACCTGAATTTAGATAGTCGTAAGTAGCAATACAACGCAAGGGGGCGAAATTTAAGGTAATCGGAATTGCTGGATACACACATCACACGCGGGGTTTGATGTGCCGAGCAATACAGTGGTGGATAGATTCCGGTCTAGGTTCCGTTATAGTACACTACATAGCGCCTGGGTAGGAGTGCAGACTTGTTGTGAGGTCATTTCATACACGGCGAAGTGAATGAATAAAAACATCTCTCAACACCAGCACAATTTGTAAGTTTAAGGATTGCTGCATCTGCGTACTCTTTTATTGACTTCTATACTATTAATATCTTCCAAATCTATCTTCAGCGACTTGCTTCCTGCTGTTTAGTAATTGACATACCATACAAGGAGCGTCGTCGTCTTCCGGGGCCCCACTGCCAGCCAGAGACGGACCGGATAGTGTTCCGGGGATAATTCCGAAATACCGGCGACGAATGTCCTGGCAATGGTCTTGAAATATCATTGGAGCCTTGCAATTCACTGCCAATCGTAAATCGTTTACAGTGATCTCAGTTTCACAGTCACGTCGTACAATGACCTTAGAACGCCTAATCCCCCAATCTTTCAGCACCGCTGTCCTATGGCTCATCGGAGCTATCTTGACCCGTCTTATATACAACAAATACGGACGAGGTCTGAACCACGTACCCGGCCCTTGGCTTGCTGGCTTTACAGATCTATGGAGGCTTCTTGTCGTTCGAGATCGTCGAGCGCAGGAAGTACATATCGAGCTACACAAGAAGTACGGACCTGCTGTTAGATTGGGTCCTCGAGCAGTATCCATTGCAGATACGGATGCTGTGAAGGTTATTTACAGTCCAAGTGCAGGATGGTCCAAGGTAACTTGCAGAGTCGTCAAACGACTATTCTCTGGCTAACTGATCACCTCTTGTAGTCGAAGTTCTACCCGGTGCAGCAAGCTCTGGCTAAAGGAAAGAGACTCGAAACCATGTTCAACACAGACAACGACAAATATCACGCCAGGCTTCGAAGATCAGTGTCAAATGCCTATGCGATGAGTACCCTTGTCACATTCGAACCGTTTGTTGATTCAACTTCGGCCGAGTTCATCAGGCAGCTCAAGCTTCGTTTTGCCGACCGCACTGGCGACGCAGGCATTTGTGACTTTGGGGCGTGGCTCCAGTTCTACGCTTTTGACGTCATCGGAGAATTGACATTCTCCAAGAGATTGGGATTTGTGGAGAAAGGTGTTGACATTGACAACATTATCCGGGATCTGGAGAGTTTCTTAAATTATGTATCATGGGTAAATGACCTCCCCAAATTTCTGAGGTATCAGCCACTGACAAACGAAACCTGTACAGATTGGCCAGATCCCGTTCCTAGATAAGCTGTTCATAAAGAACCCCATCAAAATTTGGTTGGTCAAATATGGGTTTCTTAACTCGAGTGCGCCAGTTGCAGAATTTGCGAGAAAGCACCTCATCGAACGCCAGCATGAGGAAGCATCGGGTGAGAAAAAGGTTCCAAGGAGGGACTTCTTAAACCGGTTTAAAGAGGCGCACCACAAAGATCCCGACTTTATCACCGAGCAGCTTGTCCTGGCCCTGACAGTAGCTAATATGTTTGCGGGCTCTGACACAACTGGCATCACACTGCGAGCTGTCTTCTACTACCTGCTGAAGGACCCTCCAAAGATGGAAAGTCTTCTCAAAGAACTCGCAGCTGAGAGCAAGGCTGGTCGGTTCTCGAGAGATGACGGGCTTGTTCAATGGGAGGAAGTCAGGGATTTACCCTATCTGAGCGCAGTCATCAACGAGGCTCTCCGCTGTCACCCAGCAGTCGGGCTGACTCTCGAGAGAATTGTTCCTTCAGCTGGAGTTACACTTGCTGGACACTACATCCCTGGTGGGAGTATCGCTGGTTGTTCCCCATGGGTTATTCATCAAGATACCGAGGTATATGGTGCTGATGCCGCAAAGTTTCGCCCTGAACGCTGGATCGAAGCAACACCTGAACAGCGGAAAAAGATGAATAGTTGTCTCTTATCTTTTGGCGCTGGAGCTAGGACATGTGTTGGCAAGAACATATCGTTATTGGAGCTCTACAAGCTTGTGCCAACTATTCTACGGATTTTTGAGGTAAGACTGCTAAGTTTTTTCGTCGTGTTTCGTTTATGAAAGCTAATGTTCTTTTTCAGCTTCAGCTGGTCAATCCAGACACTCCATGGAAGCTCCATAATGCGTGGTTTGTACGACAAATGGGCTTCAATGTTCGACTCAAGGAAAGGGGGAAGATCCTTTAGATCTTCAGGTGCGAGTTTGGAGATCTCAAGTCAAACTGCATCACTGGAATGCAGAGATGGTCAGGATTTACCCGCTGTATCCAAAGAATTAGATAAATTGTAAGCACACGTGTCAATGGGAGAAACTTGTAGTGATTGCTCCAACCTATGAGTATTCCAGAGATGCTTGATATGGTATTGGTATTCGTTGACAGTAATATCAATGCGAAGCAAGGCAAAAACCACGTGGCCCATTATCAAGCTGTTATCCGCATGACTAACTCGTGATACATAACTATCAGCTGTAAATAACAGGCTTCTAGCTCCAGCGCAATATCACAAGTGACTTTAATACACCGCATTGACGAGTCATATTAACTGCCGTATAGGTTCATCATAGTAGGAAATAAGTCCATATCAAGATCAAACACGCCGTTGATACCCAGAGCGCCAAGTCGTGCCTCACCAGGTCCCCGCTCAGTACCCGAGGCCATTCCCATACCCCGGGCAAAATCAAGGCTATCATTTTCCATGAAGGCCGTCAACTCGGCATCATTCGGACCAAAGCGCTCTCCAAAAGTCTCGAAATTGAAGTCTGACATGATCCAGCTATTGCGACGATCAAGGCTCGGATCGGCTATCCAGGACGTGGGCAGCTTGTTGGAGCCTCCTGTCGATCTCTCGGGAATTGTGCCTAAAGAGCCAGTGCTGAACGAATAACAATCTACTTCTTGATCCCTTTCCACACTCTTACGAGAGTCCATTCCCGCGTCTTTGAGCTGATTGTTGTACATGTTAGACGTTCCGGTTCTGTATTGCACGGGATCTTGATCTTCAGCTTGGGGCGGCGTCAGGTGCTGCATCAAGCGACTTGATACCGAGTCTCGCCTCATACCTGACGGGCTCTGGCGGTCTTGACCTCCTTGTGAGTTCAAGGCAAGAACGCGCCCAACTAGCCGACTAAGCCTAGAAACGCAGCGCATCATCTTTCCAGAGACCCAAATCCTCTGGCAGTACTCGTTCAAACACTGAGTGGCTGCAAGTATTAGACCTCCGTACCTTCTCTTCGATCCTGGTTCTCTCGACACCAAGCCTACCATGACAAGTGCGCAGCTGGTGACGTAGTGGCTGAGCGCGAAGCTATACTTGAGTCCATCGTCTTTTATGTTTTGATGTGTGGTAAGAATCTGGGCAGCGAGACTAGCACACTCGATTGAGGACTCAAGATCATCCTCCTCTGTATGGTAGATGGAGCTGGAGCTTGGTAATAGTGGTCTTCTTATTAAAAGACGCAGATATGTACAGCACTAGGTCTTGTCAGTCACCGGAGCCAGCAACGAATTCGCTGTCGGTCAGAACTCACATTGCTGAAGAGAAATGTTTGTTTTGCTTGCCATCGAGTCCTCGTGCTAAACTGAGCTTCATAGGGAACATCAGGGTCATATTTCAAACATGGAGGAACTGTGTTGAGTAATTTTCCGATCGCAGTATCGACATATTGGATCATGGCTGGCATGGAAGCAGTGGACGACTTGACACCGTATAAAACTTCCCACGTCTTGCCAGCTACACGGCAATAACGCACCATGGCAGTAACATATGGAATGCATGAAGGGGACGAGTCCCTCGCAGCCTCGACAACTATCTCGTGCTGAAGGTCTGCTATCGTCTCCTTTCTCGACGAAAATCGTGTCATCCACTCATCGCTGAGGTCCAGCGGCAACGCCGTATCAACATTGCTGTCTTGGATTAGATATGGCTTTCCGGACTCAAGAGCCAGTCGTCGATCCAGCAGATATAAAGACCACCAAGCACGTGAGTACAACTGGTTGTAATAAGCTGGCATACTCTCGATGGTGCTCTGGCGATGCAAGCCTATTGTTTGCGCAACCGACACACTCAAGGCGTGTACTCTGGCTGCTTTCTGATTCGCGTCTAGTCGGAACATGTAAATTATCTAGGCAGCGTAAGAGATCATGTAGGAAGCAAGGATCGGTGTCGTGACTCACCCTCACTATCAAAACTTGCAACATGAGCAGTGACTTTATAGCTGTGTTACTGGTCTCGAGCAGATCACCAAGAAGACTCATTCCCACACTATACAGACTCCAGCCGGATGATTCGACTCCGCTGGGGTCGCTCATTCTTGCTGACATGCTGCATCGTCCAAGAGCTAGGCAAAAACACACCAGAGCAACGGAGACACGGAGTTGCTCGCTTTGAGTTGACTCGGCGGAGGAACTGATCGCTTGGTGCTGCCACATTTCGTTGAAGATTTCCCAGACTTCCGGTGGATGGACGACCGGATACATCGGGTGCACCTCGTCCATGAAGACTTGTAGGTGATACCTGCATTGTTTCTCATCGGTAATGACGCCATGCCGCGCCAGTATACGCTCGAACCATCCCCTTTTTCTGCCCGTCGCGTCAGCTGGTGATGTTGCTGTTGCTGGTGGGAGGAGAGAAGATGCCGGAGAAGAGTTGTCTATTCGCATGGCCGACGATACAGAGCTTTGATGGTCCAACGGATCGTTCTCGTCTTCCAGAGTCGGAGTTATCGTCATCTCTCCTGCAAAGGTTTGTCCATCTGTCTCGAGGGCACTTTGTAGTTTGGCTGCCGAAGGTTTGAATTGGTCTTCGACTGACGCATAGTCATGCGTTGGTCTAGATAGATCGGGAGTGGGCGGTCTCATCAGACGTAGATGGCGTTCTACTGCTTCCAGACGAACTAACACTTCGCGATTGATGCTGTTATGGTAAATAAGCTCATGTCATTAACAAAGCGCACTAAACAAATTACCTGTCGTTCGAGGGGTAATGAACCTGGTCTTGACCTCCAACAGGACCTGTCTTTAAGTCGGGACGGCCCTGTTGTGCGCCTCTTGGGGCAGACGGCTGGCAAGGTAGTTGTTTCGCGAGGCATTGTCGACATGGATCTCCTCCTTCGCACTGGTATGATCAGACTCGTCAGAATCGTCATTCATCTTGACAGTGAAAGAGGACGGCAGGACATGGACACCAACCTTTATTTTGCGCTGCTGGCAGGAAGTGCTGCGGCGGTCAGGCACACCGTTTGAATGTTCGTGCAGGTCGTGGGGCTCTCTTACCAAGCTCTAGATATGTACTTCCCTCTCTTCATCTTCTTCGCAGGCCGTTCCGAGGATTCAGCACTGGCCGTTGCCGTGTCTTTGGTGGTGTTTCTTTTCTTGGTCCCATCTTGGTCGTCTATTGGTGTAGTATCGCGGGCATCGTCAGTTGCGGAGGCAGTCTGGTCTACTGCCTCGCTAGCTGGATCCCAATCCTGAATATCCGAAGGTGACATTATGTCGACTGAGGTTTGAATGGAGATGGAAGTCTGCCGAAGGCCAGTCAGTTCAGGACTCTGTAGTACAAAGCTTGGTCAAGCAACCGGTGGACAGGCCTGTGCTACTGCGGGGACAGCCCCCCATTCCCCAGATGATCCCCAGGTCGGATTTGATTTAGCCACCGGTGCCGAGATGATTGTCAGGGTTCCCCGCGAAATTGAGGCTTGGTGGTTCTCAATAGCGGCTGGGGAGCCTTGCATCTCCTAGCGTCCAATTGCTGCTGATCATGCGGAGCTCTCGGGTTGGATGGCTTGGATGGCTTACTATGCTTTTGACGGAATTTGGCTGGAATTTCCGTGAAATGGGGCCGTGACTCGAGCTCATTGGCTTGTCTGCGCTGTGGCGACGGTGATAGAGTTCGGCTAGCGATTTCAGCCAACAACTAACCGATGGTGGCCTTCACAGTCTAGACTCCGTAAGGCCCCTGTAGCCCCAGAAACCCCCTCTCCGTGTTTCTATTGGTCGCCAATGGATTCAAGGATGGACAGTGGATCCCTATATGACAAGAAGTGGTTCAGGGTAGGATTTCCTTTTCTGGGTTACTTAACGTTACAATCTAAGCAATCCATCATTCGAATTTTCTAGCGATAAAGCATGGTCTTCTCGGGCAAGCAGTTTAAATTTAATTAAGTCATAGGAAGTTTAAATTTGATTGCGATGAAATGATCACTCGAGGATGGGCGTACATCGCTGGTCCGCCACCTAGTTACATGGATCAATGTTGAGATGCGGGAGCAATCTCTCCCTGATAAAATCCTCAGCACTATGAAGCTTCACACCTAGCATTGCCACCTCGGGAGTTGGGATTTCGACCCCAGGGTACATTCCCACGCCGTTGTAAAGCTGCAGCATGATATCGCGATCCGGAATACCACAGGTTGGTTTGACCTTGTAAACGACGTTTTTACCAGAGACTGCACATATCAAATTAGTAACGAATTAATAATTCTCAAGAATCGGAGACGAACCTTTCTCAAGGATAGCATTGATATCGCCCATTGTCTCCCGAGCTCCACTGGCGAGAAAGTATTGTCCATCAAGAATATCCTTCTTCTCCTCCCACTGGTCGAACAGCGCTTTGGCAACTGCACCAAGGTCCTTCTCGACGTAAAGCGAAGTGACTGCATTGCCACGGCTTAGTATGAATATTCCCCAAAAGGATAAGAGTGAGCTCACGTTCAGCATCGGGTCCGATAATGGGTCGAGTCATGGTAATAACATCATTCTCCATGTCATATGCAGCATACTTTCGCGAGATCATATTCTCATAAAAGTTTCCAGTACGGATGAAGGCGCCCTTGAGACCTGCATGGCGAATGACTGCATCAACAAACTGCTTTCCTACAGTCGCCTGGTTAGCTAAGTACCTTCGGAGGATGTGTTGCTGTGAACTACCTTCATATAGCCTTGTGACAAACTTGCCCCCGGATATCTCTCGAGAACTTGGCAAAGTACTCCACAAGAAACATTCAACGCCAGCTTCCACAGATGCTTCGACGATATGCTGACCTTGTTTCTCCTCACTCATAGGATCATCGAGGACAGCCTGTACTGTAAGTATGGAACAGGTTGCGGGGCTAGGTTAGACTGACCGTATCGTAAAAGTCGGTGACGGCAAAGACACCCCAAACACCTTTAAATGCCGCTGGCAGGGTGGAAGGGATAGTCAAATCAGCCTTCACCAGCTGGGCTCCTTTTGCAGCCAGGGCTTTGGCCTTGTCCGAGCTAGGATTTCGAGTAAGACATCGTACCAGATATTGATCTGGGTACTGAACCAAAAGATTGGCAATTGATCCACCTAATGATAGTCAGTTAGTCTTAGTCGAGTTCACAAACACAAGTGTTGCTTGTGCTCACCCTGGGTTCCAGTGGCACCGAGGACTAATACAGTTTTCGTCATGTTCGTAGGGTTAAGGTTTGATAAGATTCAAGAAGAGAATTCGAGATCGAAATAAGGTAGACGATGTAGAGTTATGATAAAGACAAGACGGATGAGGGAGGGCGGATTGATCCAAGTCACTGCCTGTAGATAAATAGCCGGGACCAGTTGATATGACATGACTGTACAAGATGGGACATCAACCTCGCAATGTGGGGGACATGGGGCCTCCCCACTTGTGGGGCCCCAAGGCTCCAGCGCAGTCTACCAACCTATTTTTATACAATGGGCAAATGCCCCTGATAATTGGCTTAGCAATCCTCTCTGATATTGCTTCCTGTCTGTCTCGCATCAGCCGAGATACCAACTACTCTCTCTCTTTTGCTTCTACTCTACATGATGGCCGACAAATTTCTAGCCGAGATCAAAAGCCGCCGAACTTGTTACTCGGTCGAGGCCGAATCCCCAATCAGTGATGCTCGTATTGTCGAAATAGCCCGGGAGGTGGTCAAACACACACCCAGTTCCTTCAATTGCCAGTCTACTCGTCTGGTAGTTCTTCTCAAAGACGAGCACGTCAAGTTCTGGGATATGGCAAAGGAGTGCTTCAAGGCAACTATGAAACCAGACATCTACATAGAATATGAGAAGAAGTTGCTACAACGGCAGGCGGGATACGGAACAGTAAGCCAGCGGCCCATGTTGACATTTTTAGAAGCGTCTACTGATGTGAGCATGACAGGTACTACTATTTGAAGACTTGGACGTTGTTAGAGAATACCAGGCCAAGTTCCCTCGATTCTCAACACATCTCTTGCAATTCTCTGAGCACAACAATGCCATGCAGACTTTCAATCTTTGGACTGCATTGTCTCTTGAGGGGCTTGGGTGCAACTTGCAACACATCAATCCTATCATAGACCAAAGGCTTATCGGACATTGGGATATCTCACCACAGTGGTCGCTGAAAGCTCAGTTAGTTTTTGGCAAGCCGACTGGTGAAGCTTTACATGACAAAACGTTCCTCCCAACAGAGGACCGGTTATTTGTACATGGGATCTGACAGGCACATGGCGCTGGCTTAAGTCCGATCTTTATTAGCATCGTACAAAAAGTAGCGCTCATGTGATGTACGCAAAGACTTCTCGAGTGCGTCATTGCCAATGAGTAAGACCGAAAGTGAATATACAGTTAACATTCGTATCTTCTATCTCACTCGGACTCATGCGTGAACCCACACATTACCCTTAAGAGTTGAGAATAGCTACATCCATCCCATTTGCCAAAGCCATCCATAAGATGAGCAAACTTCCTTGCAATCTTCTTAGCAGCCACCCCTCCAAGCCCCTGAGCCTCTCCAGCAAATGAAACAGAGCCGCCTTTGTTCAAAAAGCGGATGACGGGGTTTGATGTAACCGTTTCACGTTCAGTAACCGGTGGTAAGGCAAAGAAAGTACACCCCGTGGCTCGCCCAAAGCCTTCATCTCCAACAGTAGTCCAATCTACGTCCTGTAGCAGCTCGAAAACAGGCCCATTAAAGCCGGTATTTATATGGCTAGTAACAAGGAAGTATTGACTTATCACAAGCGCTGAGACAAATAAAACCAGATCCGGTCGAGTGAGATATGATTCGCGGACGAGGCACGAATCCAAAATGCTGAATACTTGAGCCGCATGGAGCAGCGCCCTGCGAGCACTACTTGACTGTGACCATTTGAAAACATGAACTAGCGAATCCTCAGCAGCTTCTAACCCATCACGACCGCACGCAGTTTCCAAAAGATCAACGTCAGTCGTCAATAGAATGCATAGATAATGCCAGCCTAATGCATTGTTTTGATGTCGTTCGCCCAAGAAGCTGGCATGCGCCTGGGGCAGTAATACAACGTCAGCAATAATGGCCTGACAACCCTCGTCCATATAAAATCTCTCAACAGGGCTAATGGACCGAGAGCATGAGTTCTGACCGTCTCTTTCTGAAAGCTTGGCGTTGGCTGCTATCACTCTAAGGTAGAGGGATCGGAGGAGGATCTGAGTAGAATTCTGGTTGAGTTTTGATGTTGACGCCATGTGAAGACTCCGGACATGTATTCGAGGCATAGTGATACGTGCACCCTGCTCCACGAAACGCCAAAAGGATGTGGCTGTTGTTGCATCGTCAAAGAGAGCGTCATCACACGGCAGGTGGATTTCGACCTTGTCTATCGCAATAACTCCGGACGTGCTCATCAATCGGGCATATGCCATGTCCAAGTAGATAAGGCAGCATATAAGACTGCGCATGTTAACGTTAATCCAGGTGATCCAACTGAACAGGTAGATTACCGTTTGACAGACTCAACTCGTCCCCATGCCTTCCAGAGGTTGTCTGGGCTTGGTGCTCCTTGGCTCAGTTTGAGAATTGGATCGCCGTCATCCTCAGCGGCGAAGAGGCCTTGTTCATCAGCCACCTATTGAGAGAGCTCAGTTAGGCACTTTGGCTGAACGAGATGTCGGTCTTGGTATACTTACACGAAGCATCTGAGTACAGATTGTGTACGCTTGGTGTACATCAATCTCGTCCTATGAAAAGTCAGCGACTACTCTGGTGATTGAACAAGGTGGACTATGTACACGAAAGCCCAAGGCCAAGTAGGCTATGATGAGTACAGTGGCAAGTGTAATGAGGAAGTCTGACGGTGCACGTTTGAGGAGTGTTTGAGACGTTAAATCATGGAGACAGGCTGGCAGCAACTTCTAAAACACAATTAGCAATCCTTCTCCTAATCTGACTCGGCAGATAACATGCTCTGAGATATTTGGTGAGAAATGCCTTGGTTTGTGTTCGATCTAGGTAGGACAATCCAACTAGACACATTGCGAGTAACAGCGGGCTTGGCGTATCTCCAGCATTAAAAGTGCTCTTATGTATGAATGGTAAGACCGGATGGAAAAACTGAAAGTAAAAGTCTAAGCTCGAGTCGAGTAGATCTATAGAAGGCATGTAGATCTCATCAGCGGTTGTAGATGACGAGCCGAATGAACCGTCAAGGTCCTTGCAGTACTGAATCAGACGATCTCTACATGCTTGGTCCACATTGCATCCCAACGATTGATGGGTGTCAAGATTGACCCTCTGCTGTGGTGCCGTGAGAATGTTATCAACATTGTGCTTTATCACGTCACTCCATAGACGACTGTTGATTTGTGTGAGTACCTTGGGTCGCTGTCTCGACCAGATCCGTTGTACTTTCTGCATCTGGCTGGCTGATATGGTCATCAGCCCTCCACTTCTCGGCCTCTGGCTACACGAAATAGCTTCTATTGCGGGTGTGGAAAATGGGAAGATAGAACTATTCAAGTCGGAGCCGTCCATGGCATCGAAGCTAAACTGCGCGTTATCGAAGATTGGCATCTGTCCCGTCTCGAACGAAAACATATCGAGGTCGTCGAAACTTCCGAGGGAACGTTGTTGGTCGAATTCTATCCCGATAAAGGTCGAGACTTGGTCGACATCGAGCTGCGGTGGCAGCGTTTGGGAGATTGTGAAAGGTGACTGACCCATTGAGCTTCCTTGGCTAGCATCAACAGTCTGTCGAAACTGCGGTGAAAATCTCTGTCTCTTCTGCGGCCGTGGAGTATCGTCTATGGGAGTTTCGGTAGGTGGCGTTGGCATTGCGGAGCTTGGGGCGGACGACGCATGCTGAGAGGATGCTGTGAAGTTGCGTTCTTGGGCTTCAGGAACGGCTGGGCTGGGAGATATACTCGGTTGTCGCCTTGTCAGTGCGACCGAAATGTTTTGATGATCCTGTGATGCTTCGTTATCATCGCCAATCCCAATAGCGTCCGAGGACCGGCGTTCAGGCCGATATTCGTTTTGGCCGTTGTCTTCTGTTGAGGAGTGCGTCTGAGAATGTCTAAATAGAACGTCGCTACACTTCAACATTAGCTATTTGTGTACCCGGCATATACGTCCTTGTGTTCAACTAACCTTCTGGCATAACTTCTACCGCATTTGTAGCACTTGAAAGGCTTCTCGCCTGTGTCTTTGGCTGTTGGTAATGAGCCTCGATAATGTCGTGGAGCAACTTACGAGTTCTCTCGTGACGCTTCAAGTGTTCCTCTTTTGTAAATACACGCTCGCAATACGCGCATTTTCTCGGTTTACCTCTTGGGCGCGTCATGTGGCCGTCCATGGCGACGTTCTCTAGAGTTCTAGCTTTGCATGTAATCATGGTGAATCACATTAACTGAGATACCGACAGCTACAGAAGCTAGCGCATGCTGAACGCTGAAGCTCATGCTAGCTTCACTCAAACTAAGATGGATTCAGCTTCCCCGCACTCATGATTTTGCTCTTGGTCCGACGGTCTGGAATTTCCGTCTGCTTTCCGAAAGTCCCGGCTGTCTCGACGCTAACCCCGTCATATCCGAACAGCTTCTGAGATTGTTCCATGCGAATGTAAGAGGCTGGAGTAAAAGGACAAATGGGCACTTCAGAGTAAAGCTGCGACACTTGGTTTTCGGCTGACGTCTGCCCCACGGTCCCTAGAGAATAGGTAGCCGTCGTATAAATGCTAGCACTTGATACTACCACAATACTGGTCTCCAAATTCTTCAGTAATTTATCGGTCCAACATCATAATTATTCAGCTCTTCGCCAAATATAGTCAAGATGCTCGACTGGAACGACGACTCGTTCATGTCCGATTGGGATGCGAAATACGTCTCCACCAATGTCAAGCCCGAGGCACAAAAATACGACAGGGACCTGTTCCTCGAACTCAATTCAAAGTTGGCTACCTCTCATCCGGAGCTGAAATCTTTCAGCCATGCCATAATCGTATGTCAAAAACTTGAAATGACCAACGTCTTGCTTCAAGACTATTAACACGTTTGACAGGCTGCCGCGTGCTGCGCTGTCAGTCGTGCAGATGTTGTCGGACGCTTCTTCGATGATATAACGTTTGATTCAACACCAGAAGCCTCTGAGAAGCTCTTTCTTTCCACCAGAGAGGCTATCACCATTGTTTTCCCATACATCGGAATGCCAACCTGTATTCCCGCATGCTACGGAATGATTGGCGTTGTAGAGAGGAAAGGTTCAGAGTATGCCTCTACCAGAGTGCTCCGAAAGACCACAATTGATGAAGAAGACGTCAAGAAAGGGAGTGAGCTTAAATCTCGCATATACAGTGGCGTCGGAAATTCAGGCATTTTTAGTTTGATGGATAAGTACTTTACTGATCTGTGTAAGTTATATCCTTTGCACACTCCTGGTACTTCGTCTTGCTGACTTTATTTCTTCAGTTACCTGCTCGACTGTTGTTACTTGGGGCTATCTCATCTCAAAGGCGAATGAGGAGGTATTCCAACCAAATGAGTCTCATCTGATTATTGCAGCCTCCATTGCAGCGCTGGGGGCGACCCGACAGACAAAGAGTCATATAAAAGCTACTCTGGGGATAGGAAACTCAGTGGCATGTGTAAAGACTGTGTTGAATGTAGTGAGGAAAATCGCGGCGTGGGCTGATCGGCCCATTGGAAATTTCGACGTAGACGCGCTTTCTCTGGAGATTCAGAACTCTCTGAGGAATTAGCACACTAATTAAATGGACTATTGAGTAGCCAGAAATGACTTCAGAAGCGTGATAAATTGTCATCTTGTACACGAGTAGTGCATAATCCTAGCCGAAGGATCCAGGAATTGGCTCACAACCGGCTGGACTGCCTTACGCTGTAGTAAGCAACAGCAGCTAAGATGGAATCACTCAAGTTGCACAAACGGTATTTCGGTACGTGGATCTTGGCCTAGTAGAGTTAAATTCCGGTTCGGTCAAATCACCCGAGGCAAACTTTTAGAACACATCTGACCCATATGGTGTGACTGGTATAATATACTCCAAGCCCCACCTCGAGTAAGGAAGTGCATTTAAGTGCGTGTTGCTCCAGTGTGCTGGTTTTCTGACCTTCTTGACTTCCCAGACCAGTAGTCTACCGCTACTTGATCCCTATCTCACATCCTTCACCATTGCATAGCCCAACATGAGCTGGAGTCGCTTGATCAGATTCCTTGATGACGAAGACCAGGTCTGTCTTGGTGATGCAGCTGCAAACTCTGCCCAAGACTTTACGAGTCTGTTGGAATCTGGGAATCTCGCCGCTGAACAACTAGCTGGTACCGACATATTTAACGCAAAGCCGACGGGCGAGATAGTCCACGTCAAATCGCTCCTGGGACCTCTGACCCCTCAAGATGTCCCCATAATACGCTGTGTTGGTTTGAATTACGCAAAGCATAGTATGCCATCGCTGTCCTTCCTTCTCAGCACTCTTGCACTCTATACTGACAACAGTAGTCAAAGAAACAGGGAGGGCTCCACCCCCATATCCCTCCATCTTTATAAAGCCATCCCGCTCAGTCACAGGTTGGAATGATGATATTCCTATCCCCAAGATCGCACAGAAAGATCAACTTGACTATGAAGGTGAACTGGTAGGTCAAGTGCTCATGATCCAAAGTTCAAGAATACTGACCTGTATCAGGCTATCGTGATAGGGAGGAAAGGGAAGGATATCTCGGCTGAAGATGCATTGAGCTATGTGGCTGGGTACACCGTTGCGAACGATGTCTCAGCGCGTACATGGCAGAGGGATCCCAAGTTTGCAGGGGAGGTACCGCAGTGGTGCTTCTCCAAAGGCTTCGACTCCTTTGCTCCTCTGGGTCCCGTACTTGTATCTCCAAGTGTGAGTTATATCAACGATGGAGTTTCAGAGCGGAGTTAACTGGAAGTCAGGTTCTCGGAGCAGCGGACGACCTCATTCTGCAGAGCAAGGTGAATGGGGAGGTCCGGCAGGAGGCGAGTACTAGTGATCTGGTGTTTGGCGTGAAGAACATCATTGCGTTTGTCAGTCAAGGTACTACACTTGAAAAGGGCGCGGTGATCCTGACTGGCACACCGGGAGGAGTGGCTCTGGGAATGAAACCGCCCAAATGGTTGAAAGATGGAGATACTGTAGAAGTGTCTATCAGTGGGATTGGAACTATACGCAACCAGATGGTTTTCCAGTGAGTTATTTAGATCAGAAAGAGAGATACATGACACACGAGGTTTTGATCGCGAAATTCACTGCCAAACAACCCTCGTGATTTTAAACCTCTGCCAATTTCACCGCTCTTATAATTCCTCCTTGACTTTTGCTCGAACTAGAAGCTTGGATTGCATAATGCGTTGCCTTGATTGCCGAGGTCTGCGTATCCAACTATGTACCCTTTTTGCCATTTATTCTATCCAAAAACTATAGCCCCCCTTTGTTAAAAGTTCTGCAACTACGTGTGTCGATGACTTCCTTTTGGTTCTATGCTTTTGCCTTGTTATTCTTGGACTGGCAAGTTTCAAGCTGTGTGGCAAGTGTGACAGGGTGGTATTATATATCTTGAGTTACTTTTCTTCACTGATATATCATACCAGGTATTTACTATGTGATAAATGCAGAAAGCTCGCAATTACGCTCATCATTGTTAGGCTGAGTCTATGTACTATCACTTTCGCAAAGTCATATCGATATGTTTGTCCACGGCGCAGAGTCCATTGTCAGCTTTTATAACCATTACGGGGGCATACTAGTAGAAGGCCTGCAACCCTGTGATCCCCTTCCCAACAATCATAGCTACTTGCATGTTAGAAGCGTAACTGAATCTTGGCAGTAAGACTTACAGTGTATATCAGACTGCCCTTCATAGGTCTGAACTACGAAGAGATTTGCGACGTGGCGTCCTGCTCTAAGTCAGCACCAACAAAAGACGGAGAAACGATATCAGTAAGAACTAACCTATATGATACTCATCTGAGGCGGCATTTCTGGAGACTGTCGTCAGTGTTATTCAGGATGAGAAGGGACAAGGGTCTTACCCTCCAAAGATCTCTTGTAGACTAGCATTGGTTAGTGAACTGTCACGGCAGAGACAGGATTTAACTTACGTGCGAGCTCCTGCCAACGCCCGATCACAGTTCTGTCTCTTGATCATCGAGATCATCTCAGGCGCCAAGGTGCCCTCATCCTTGAGTCTTCCCACTTGAATAGCCGCCAGAGTACCATAAGCAGCGTCTGTGAGAGCGTCACTGAGCTTCTTTTGCACAAGCTGATACTTTGCGAGTGGGTTACTGAACTGCTTTCTGTCCAGTGCATATGTCCTCGCACGGTCAATACAGTCCTCCAGAGCTCCCATTGTACCAAAGGCGATACCATATCGGGCCGAGTTGAGACAGCTGAACGGCCCCTTGAGGCCCTCCACCTGGAGCATATTTTCTTCAGGTACTGGGCAGCCATCGAGCTGGATCATACCGGTAATAGATGCTCTCAGGCCGTTCTTCTCTTTGAGAGCAGGCGTTTCAAGAGTTCCAGGAGGGCATTGGTTTCGTTCTATGAGAAAGCCACGGATTTTGCCCGTAGTCTCTAGTTTAGCCCAGACCAGAAGCAGGTCCGCTATGGGAGAGTTGGTAATCCAAGTCTTTGCACCAGAGAGTGAGTAGTATCCTTTCTTTGTTGGGTGTACACGGGCGATAGTCTCCATAGACCCAGGGTCAGAGCCGTGATTTGGCTCTGTCAGACCAAAGCATCCAATCAAGGTTCCTTGACCTAACGGGGGTAGAAAGCGGTCCTTTTGCTCTTCTGTGCCGTGTTCGGCAATTGGACCCATGACAAGAGAGCTCTGGACAGACATGCCGGATCTGTAGCCTGAGTCGACGCGTTCAACTTCCTTTGTGATGAGACCTGAAGCCACACTGCTAACGCCCGCGCACCCATGGGTCGATATTGTGGCTCCAAGAAGGCCTAGTTCTCCCATTTCCCGGAGAATGTTTCGGTCATAATTCTCACTTCTGTAAGCATCTTTAACCCAAGGTCAGTGCAGAGTTCAGCATTACAGGGCATATTACTTGCCGAGGACTCGAGGTAGTAGGCGCTCTTGGCAGTATGCTCGAGCAGTCTCCTGAATGTCGAGTTCTTCCGAGGTGAGCAAACTCTTGGAAGAAACTGGATCCTCCCAATCGAAGCGGGCCAACGAGAGATTCCTACGGCCCGCTGTAAATAGCCTAGAAATATTACGAGGCTGAACACGCCGGCGCAGGAGAAAGGACATGATGGCTGCTGAGTTTAGTACCGGGGTTTCTCAAAAGAGATGATATCAACTAAGGTCAGAAGATGAGCTGGGAAAGTAAAGCAAGGTTTATTAGTTCACTACAGTAACCTTGCAAAATAATTGCATTGATCTGTGAAACGAGTTGAGGAGAATTATAGACACGCCTCTTGCACTCTACCTTAAGTCTACGGGGCCGGACTCGCATGCAATTCCGATCTGCATGATTCACTCTGTCGGCGAAATTCCCTTTACACCGATCATGCCGAGTCAACTTTTACTGTACATGACAGTCGATAGCCTGGGCCTCAGCGTTTTACAAAATGGTGAGGGGAAATCCAGACCAGCGCTAGATCAAATGGATGTGGGCGAGATCACAGTTCCATCATCTCCGGGCTTGACTCCGCACTAGCTCTATATGTAGTAGTCGTCTTGGCATTTCTCGCACGTCTCGGTATTTCGACGGAATATCCGTGGCTTGCCATGAGAGGTGGAAATGGCCCGAAGCTAGTGGTGCTGTAATGCTTCATTTTGATCTGCCACTCTACGTGTGTCAGGGTCTAATCACATATTGGGCTCTGGTGAGAAGACGATGGATTTGAGCTGCGCGGGTCCTGACATGGCTCAAATTGAATCGCGGTGATAGGACCAATGCCAAGGTGTGGATTGGCGTTGGTATCTGGATGATACTGCTGAGATGTTATGATGACCTGGATCAATATATCCTTTGTTCCGGTTTTCGTCTCGGTATCGCATTTATTCTAGGTGCCTCCCAGTATCTTGCGACGTCACACGTGGTTGATCAATATGAAGCTTTTGCGCCTTCAGAGGAATAAGTCATCGTGATATCAACTACAAGACCATAAGTATGATACAGCTGAATACAAGTAGCATTAAATGCAATGATTAGATAGGTCTTCTCATATCGCATTACAAACTTCACATTTCAAGATAGCCTCAAGTGTAAAATATAGTTCATTCTAAGTCACTATCTCGAACTCACTATCTACTTGCGTGACAGAATCTGCCGCAAAGCTGATCGCAAAGTTGCGGTAGGGTCTTGAGGCCGATCAAACGATCGCCAGCCGATATGACGATCAGGGCGAACCAAAAGAGCCCCACGGTCACTAATCTCGCGTCGGGTCGTCCATTCAGCCAAGACATCGGCATAAGTACAACCCTGGCCAACAAAATACACAGGTAGCTTGACACCAAGCTCTTTGCTGACAACAGCAGCAGCCTCCTCCCAAACCTTTCCACCAATACCAACGACAAGACCAAAACTGCCGTGCTCAAAGATATCCAGGACCGAGATGCGCTTTTTGTTGAGCTCTATCCAAGCATGCGGTATGTAGGCGCCCGGATGTGTCGTGGGGTGATAGAACAGAACAGGGTCACGATCATATTCGGGAAATGGAGTTCCGTCATCAACCACAGCGACCGAGTTGGCATAACGATGGCCCAGATGTACTCCAAGAGGGTTGGATCGACGGTTACCACGGTCTATCGTCTTCCTCAGAACCTCACGGCGCTCTGATGCGCCATCAGCGTCGGAGAAGAGTTCCTCGAGCTTCGCAAAACCATCCTGTCGGGACTGCCCTCGCTCAAACCCGAGGGCACCGGGAAGAAGTGCCATGTCGTGAAGTGTTTCGATTGCATGGTCGACAATCTGTTTGCCTATCGGCTGTCTCTCCTGGTTGTAACTCTCGAGAATCCCCTCACCAGCCTGTCCCTTGATGACAGCGGCTAGCTTCCATGAAAGGTTGTAAGCGTCTTGTACACATGTATTGCTTCCAAGTCCACTGGCAGGAGGATGACGATGAGCCGCATCTCCAGCAAGGAAGATTCGTCCGTGACGATACTCGGTCGCCACAACATGATTGACTTGCCACTTGCCCTTGTGCTTTACCCGGATCGGCAGAGAGTCTGGAATGGCCAAGGCGCTTCGGGCATGGGCAATGATGGCTTCATCACTCATATCGGGCTCGCCATCAGCAGCATTGTATTGTCGATTGACAATCCACTCATCCCAGGGCTTCTTGAGGATGCAAGTTCCCGAACCAACCCAGTACGCATCGCCTGGTTGCAGCATCAAGTAGATACAAGCCGGACGATGGGCCACATACTGGGTCAAATCCATCTCAACCCAAGAACTTATCATGTGCATAAGTCCTGGCTCCCCGACGAAACCGAATCCGATTTTCTGTGCCACTGTCGACCTCGCTCCATCTGCGCCAACAGCGTAACTAGCACGGACGAGATATTCTCCTTGACTGGTCCTTTCGCGTACTCTAGCAACAACACCCTCATCGGACTGCTGAATGTCTATCAATTCGTGGTAGAAACGTATGTCGGCCCCGTGCTCTCGTGCCCTGTGCAGCAAGATAGGCTCCATATTGTTCTGGGCCGTGTTCCACATCTTGCTTGGACTAGCCTTTGCGAAGTCGGTCAGCTGATGGTCGCCTCCGCCGTAGCAGCTGTAGCGTCCAATTTCCATGCCTGTGAGACTAGTAGCCATGACCATGCTGCCGATATCAGGCATACAGGTTCCTGCGGCTTGGATGCGCTCTTCAATGCCCATGTCGCGGAAGATCTCCATGGTGCGCTGGTTGGTGACGTGGGCACGTGGAGCTGGTGCAGTACCGCTGTGCTTTGCGATGGCGAACACTTTGACATCCAGAGCTGCCAACATGGCTGCAAACGACAGACCAGCTACGCCAGCGCCTATAATGAGGACCTCAGTTTCAACCTCGGGCAATTGCGATGACTGGGAGTCAACACCACTAGGAAGGCTTTAGTTTTTGAGATAACTGACGTGTATTTCAAAACTTACGTTGACTGGGGGTTGGTGGTTGTATCCATGGTGGCCGTTGCTAGAGAGAGGGTGCTTGTTGGAACTTGATGATGGTGATGCAGCTCGAACTAACCCTTCAACCAATTCAGATGGATGCAAGCTAAAGCTTCTTATTGGCTGAAGTGAGATAGGTTTGACGCAATCCGTGAATAGCTATTTTGCGTGTAGATGGCGACGATAATTGACTGCTAATTCACGACATTAAGAGTCGACCCTTACTGATGGTCAACCGGAACAGGGGCCTCAATTTCCGCCTCCAAGCCGGGACAGGGTTTTGTAAGTCTGTCACTTAGGCACTACACCTGTCTTGTGGCTCAGCACGGTAGTGCCCATTGGCGCCTCGGTCTGTATCCGCCGGGCAGACCAATCACTACCATGTTCATGAAATTGATGGAAAGCAAGTAGTTTCTAGCTACACCAGTACTGTCCAGCGTATGTTTCTTCAAGATGCTAGGTTTTATGTAAATCGATCTTCAACAAACCGAATTACTTTACTTATCAATATACTTATAAAAAGCAGAGTCTACAATTGGTTCGCCATTCTTCGTTTTCGGCATGCGCAGGTGTCATGGTGCCCACGCCATACGTGACTTGAGTCTTCCCATGTTAATGATTGACATCTCATCTCATGACCCGTCAAACTTACTTCTCAAGTAAACCTCGGGTTACTGTTTCTGAAAGTTCTCAAGCCCAGATTTCGCTAACAGCAGGCGATGCCACTACGAACATGTCGGCGTGTGACCACGGCTTTTCGGGATTTCGGAATTCCTGCCAGCCACCCAACAACCACCGTCGACCGCCAAGACTCAGACTTGAGCACTTCGATCTAGGCGACTCTATAGGCGATTTCTCGATCAATCTGCTGTTTTGTAGAGAGGGCCACTCATTGATACTGGACAGATTCTTTCGGCAGTATGCTGTACAACGCCGTTTACGGGTTGGACAGTTCAGTTCATCTTAGGTCAGGATGGGTTAATTGGCAAGAAGGCAAAATACAGAGCATTCTCTATTTCCATTGGCGAGATTACATGAATTGCCAAAGCTTTCAAAACTTTGATCAGCAGTTTTGTATATGTCGTTGTGAATCGTTTTCCTTCTCTTGTTACTCAATTGAACATCGTCACAAGACATGTCGAAGCTCTCTGCCCAAGAAGAAGATGACTTCTTTCCCAAGTCTAACAGAATGGGTCGGACAATGAAACAGCCTTCTGGGGATGTTTTGATGCCTCCGTCCAAAAAGTATCCCTTCTGGTTTGGAGGCAGCGCCAGTGCAATGGCTACCTTGCTCACCCACCCGCTTGACCTAGGTTAGACTTTGCACTCTCTCAAAGTCACCTCACTCACAGGCATTCAGTCAAAGTCCGTCTCCAGTCAACACTCACGCCAACTCGGCTTTCCATGGCAGGGATGACCACTCGTGTCATCACCAGTGAGGGTTATGCTGGGCTCTATGCTGGCTTGAGTGCAGCTCTTCTCAGACAGTTCACCTACTCAACTATCCGCTTCGGAGTCTATGAGGATCTCAAGTCACGCCTAAGTCATGACTCTGGGATAGCATCTCACTCTCCCATGATGCTGATCTGTTTATCGGCTTTGTCAGGTTTTATGGGCGGTGTGGCTGGGAACCCAGCAGACATTGTCAATGTGCGGATGCAGTCTGACATGTCAAGACCATTGACAGAGCGAAGGAACTACAAACATGTTTTTGACGGTGTATTTCGCATTATCAGGACTGAGGGAGTAAGTTCTCTGTATCGTGGAGTAGGCGCCAATGCCCTTCGCGCATCTCTCATGAACTCCTCGCAGCTGGCCTCTTACGATATGGCTAAGGCATCATGCATAAAGACATTTGGGATGGATGATGATACTAAAACTCATCTCGTGGCTTCCTTTATGGCGGGTATTGTAGCGACAACTGTTTGCTCGCCGGCAGACGTGGTCAAGACTCGCATTATGGGCTCAACAAACAGGGAACATATATGGCAGATCTTGAAACGGTCAACAATGTCTGAAGGATCATTATGGGTTTTTAAAGGATGGGTCCCTAGCTTTCTCCGTCTTGGCCCTCAAACTGTCCTCACTTTGCTGATTCTTGAGCAACACAAGAAGGTGTATGCCAAGATGACCATTTGAGCGAAATGGCGTTATACCTTGTCAATTATTAGTGCCTGAAGTCGAAGCTAAATTATATCATCTCATATTTGTTGGTGCTTTCACTGCAGAGTTACCATAGAACTGGCGGATCATGTCCAAAACTACGTCGTGCTTTTCCACAGGTTCGGCTTTCGATTGCAGTGATCGAAGTTAAGGCTGATGCGACTGAAATGGCTAGAAAGCGTTGATCAGACCCTTCTTGCTTAACTCGTTCTGATGTGTGATTGTTCTAGGCTCCATTGTGCTAAGCTTCCGCCTAGAATTCCGTTCGTAGATTATTAGTTGCTGTTAGCGATTGAAGGAGTTCGGGCTTAGCAAAAATTCCGGCCTGTACCAGCGGAGCTGAGCACCAAGCCCGGGCGGCGATTCCTTTACTTCCGTACACCTCATTCCCAGTTCCATCAGATGTCCCCAAATAAAAGGTTGATTCAAATTTACATACGTACATCTTGATCCTCCATCTAAACTTTCCAGCATCTCATCTTTCACCACTTATACACATACGCATACACAATCATGGCTCCTGCTAGAGGAAAAGTCGCCTTTGTTACTGGCGCTAACGGTATTACTGGCAATGCCATTATCGAGCACCTCATCCGCAAGCCAGAGTCCGAATGGTGAGTCGCTTTATCCTGTAGTGTCGATAAGGCATAACTGATTTGGATTACGCAGGTCCAAGATCATTATCACGTCCCGACGAGTTCCCAAGCAAAGCCTATGGCAAGACCACCGCATCAGGTTCATTGCTCTCGACTTTTTGAACCCTGTGGAGGAGCTGATCCAGCGCATGGCCCCTCTGTGCCACGACGTGACTCACGCATTCTTCACATCCTATGTTCACACAGCAGATTTCGCCAAGCTGCGCGATAGCAACATTCCTTTGTTCCACAACTTTCTAGTTGCTATAGATATTGTTGCAGCAAGCACTCTGCAACGAGTCTGTCTCCAAACAGGGGGAAAGGTTAGCAAACGTCACTCAATCATCTGGTATCGCGGACTAACAACAGTCTGTCTAGTATTATGGCCCCCATCTCGGACCTACTGAAGTCCCTCTTCATGAAGAGATGGGCCGCTACGACGACAAAGGCGAGAACTTTTACTACCCCCAAGAAGATTTCCTCTCCACCCTAGCAGCCAAGCGCTCTTGGAACTGGAACATCATCCGCCCCAATGCCATTATTGGATATACACCTGCAGGTATGATAGCGTTGCCAGCGGCAACATCATAGCACCTGATTAACTCAAATTACAGGAAATGGTATGTCCATGGCGCTCACATTAGCGATCTACATGCTGGTGTGCCGCGAGATGGGAGTACCTCCCATGTTTCCTGGCAACAAGTTCTTCTTCAACCAATGCGTCGACGATTCCTCCTACGCCCCCAGCATCGCTGATCTTAGTGTATGGGCTGTCACCGACGAGCACACCAAGAATGAGGCGTTCAACCACCAGAATGGTGATGTTTTTGTGTGGAAGCAGCTCTGGGGCAAGCTTGGCCAATACTTTGGCATTGAGGTAAGTTGATCCACGTTTACCCTCGGCTTCTTGGCTAATCATCTTCAGGTTCCAGAGTTCACCGAGTGGGCAGCTGAGGGAGACCAACAGCGCATGGCGAACAATTTCCTCATGACTGAGTGGCACAAGGACAAGAAGCAAGTATGGGAGAGAGTAGTAGCCAAGTACGGTGGTCAACTCGAAGCTTTCGAGTGGGGTACCTGGGACTTCTTTGACTGGGCCGTTGGAAAGGCTTGGTTGACCATTGGTAGCGTCGGCAAAGCGCGCAAGTTTGGCTGGAAGCGCTACGATGATACCTATGACACATACGTCGAGACGTTCCGCGCCTTTGAGAACGCGGGTGTTTTGCCGTATGCCGATGTTTTGCGAGCTGAGAACAAGGGTCAGGCTACGCAGGGCGGTCTTGCTCCTCATCCTTATGATGCTGTTACTCTGAAGACGGCAAAGGCCAAGAAGGAGCAAAACGGTGTGGCTACCAATGGTGTTAACCTCGATGAGATGAAGAATAGGCTTGAGAATGGGTTCAAGAACGGGCATGTTGAGAATGGGGATCTGGCAGTGAAGGTCTGAGGTGGCCATGGGAGAGTTTGTGTTCTACCTCTAACTCCAATTAGTGGTTTCTTAGTATGATATGTACACAGCTTGAGTCGCATGTTTTCTTTATTTCTTTACTATCAAGTATCATGTTCTCTCATATCATTCCAACTTGTCTTGCACGTTTACGGCGACATATTCTGAGCGGTGAATGATCCATTCGAATCTATCTTCTGCATCACCATCTCCCAGCACTTTACTCTGCCACTGCCTCAACGCAAATAGTCTGTTGACTTCAAACTCACGGTATTATTTGAACCCATGCTCTTCCTTCGCTGTGCTCGGTCAACTTCCATTAGCCGAATCATTCGACTCTCTTGGCGTGTAGCAATCGTCACGATTGATCAAACTCCAAATACTGAACGCGTAAACACTCTGCATGGCTTCGGATATTCCAACACGCACTTGCTCATAAGCCGGAATTGCCATTCCGTCTGGACATTGGCCTACCCAGAGACATCATGCCCCCATGGCTTATCTGCCACTTTGGTGTGGCAGTCTACAGTGGTCTGGCCTCGTTAGCCGTTCTTCTCAATCAAGATAAGCTACATTATCAACGGGTCCTGACTCCCTTGTCTGCGAAGCCTATATCAACTTCCGGTAATGGATCGCTCTGAGATCAGTGGCTCAATGACATTTTCTCGAATTATACGCCAATTGCTTCCTGCACATAGAGTACACATAGCTAGACCGTAGAAAGAACCGCATTAATGTGTGTGGCATTCGTCCAGACCTCACAGTTATTGGAGACGCCATGGTGCGCACTGAAAATAAGATTCCAGCTTGGCGTTTGGGACCGACCGGGTCCCCGGAAATCAAGGAGCATCCCAGAACAGCCTAGTCAAGCTGGCGTTTGGCTACGCCCGTCACACGACGGGAAGCTACTCTACCCCACGGGGCCCCGGATTTCGCAATTTCGGAACTGCCATCCTGTGTTTGTTCTCGACTATCTTAGCTCTGGCAACAGGAATTGTATTTGTATAGACATCTTGACGGCTTCAATGCAAGATCTACAACACTCGACTTGCACAGCTCGAGACTCAACATCGTCACCCAGACACGACTCGACTTGAAAGCTATCATGGAGAAGCCAGAGGTTGAGCACCTTTCCAATGACGAGAAATCAGACGGCTCTCGCGTGGTAGACAAGTTCCCACCAGAGGCTCGAGCTGAAGCTGGAGTTCTTCTCCAAGTTGAGCGTGCCGAGGGGACCTCTCTGCGTCTTGCTGAGGATGGACATGTAAGTCTTGCAGTTCACGAATTACCATCACTGCTGACAGTTGAGTTCACTCTAGACCGTGCTTTTGCCTCAGCCGACAGACGATCCTAATGACCCCTTGAACTGGTCATCGCGAAAGAAGCACCTCATTCTCCTGGTTGTGGCCTGGGCTGCTCTCACTTCAGATTTTACGTCTGCTGCTGGTAGCGCTCCAGTCATTCTTCAAGCCGCCGAATGGCACAAGTCTCCAAACTCGGTCAATCATAATAACAGCATCAATGTCCTCATGATGTGAGCAGCTCTCACCTTGTTTCTCGTCATGACCTTTGCTAATTTGTTCTCAGGGCCATTGGCGGCTTGATCTGGGTTCCAATGACTTCCGTCATTGGACGAGCACCGACCTTGTTTTGGTCCACCTTCTTAGGTCTCATATTCTCCATCCTTTCGTCCGTTTCCACTTACTTCGAGATGTTCATGGGCGTCCGAGCTATCCAGGGCCTCTTCCTTACATCTGGCCAAACAATCGCCATCGCATTCATCAAAGATATCTTCTTCTTCCACGAACGAGCTCGAAAGATCGGCCTATGGGCTCTCATGTATATCACATCTCCATACTGGGGCCCGTTGCTCGCCAACTTTGTCATTGGGGAAACCCATCAATGGCAAGATGCCTTTTGGCTTGGGGTTGGGGTCAATGGCATGAGCTTGCTTCTCATCTTGGCTTTTCTGGATGAGACCTGGTACAACCGTGATTTGCCTTCGTCCGCTCAACCACCTCGAGGCCAAGGTTTCTTCTCTCGGCTTCTTCGACTTACTGGCCTATGGCAGATGAAGCATCATTCTGGATACTTTGAGTCTGTTTATGATGCTTACAAGAGGGTCCTCCTCATCCTGTCGAAGCCTGTTATTCTCCTCGTTCTCGTTGCTTAGTAAGTTTATTCTGTACCTTTTTGTAATCCTCAAAGAGCTAATAAAATCTCGCCAGCTTCATGTGCTTTGCATGGGCGATCGGTGTCAATATTTCAACCGCCATCCTCTTTGGTCTTCCCCGAGAGATGGGAGGCTACGGCTACAGTTTTACTCAGTTGGGATACCTACACTTTGCTCCCATCGTGGGCGTTTTCCTAGGCGAGATCTTTGGTCATTTCTTCAACGATCACCTTACCCGGCGCTATGTTCGAAAGCACAACGGTGTCTTTGAGCCCGAGGCTCGCCTCATGACCATCTACATCTCGGCTATCCCCATGATTGCTGGCCTTGTCTTGATGGGACAAGCCTTGCATAAGCATCTTTCTGTTGCAGCAATCGTCGTAGGATGGGGTATGCATGCTTTTGGAATCATGCTGACATCTGTCGCTGTGGCTTCATACCTCTTGGACGCGTACCCGTCTGCTCCTGCAGAAGTCTGTGGTTTGACCAACGTGTTCCGAGCTTTGAGTGGTTTCAGTGTCGGATATTACCAGCAGCCGTGGGGAGCCAAGGTTGGTTACGATGTAAGCTTTGGCACTCAAGCTTGCATTGTAGCGGCGAGTATGATTCTGATCGCGATTGTGCATCGGTTTGGCCATAAGCTCCGTTTGAAGTTTGGCCAAGTCAGGTAAAACAGGGATGTCTCAGATTGAGAGCGTGCAGACAGTATAATAGCCTGGGG